TTTTACCCAGAATAGTGATGTACTGCTCAGAACGCATCATACCGTCAATGGGCTGCAATGGTCCAACCCCATTGTAACCGAAACAACCCCAAAACATCTTCTTTAAAAAATACGGAAAAAAAAAGTTTGTTTCAATTAATTTGCACAAGGGTGTAAAATATTCAGAAATAATTTGGGAAATAAGGAAAGTGGATCTCAAAGAAAAGTTCGTTAAATCGAAAATTCACTCACTATTTGAAGGTTGTTTTACGAAGAAATTTCCAAGATGTTCTTGGTTCCTCGAAAAAATTCGCAAAATAGAGAAATTCGCAAAATGGAAGTTCGTTAAATAGAAGTCCGACTGTATTTAATGAGACAAATGAAACAGTCCTAAGCATACATTAGAACTTGAGTGAATGTCCCATTACCGGGAAAAAATCTATTAAGTTAGGGCTTTACTTCAATTCAAAAGAAATATATTTAAAAAGAAAAATTTCAGATTACAATTTACAATTATTTTAGTTACAACGTCAATTTTTGTTTACACATAAATCAAAATTCAAAATGATTCCATGTAATAATTTTTTGTTTTTAAATCGTGCATTACTACAACCAGTCAATGAATGATGAAATATTTTATATAAATTTCAATGCTGTTTACTTTTTGATTACGTTCCTATTCCACAGTTGAGTAAACAGTTAGTAGTAAATGTACGTAAATATGTAGTAAATTTATTTACGTAACTACAGTTTACTTTTAGTTTTTGTCATTTTGTCTATTGATTTAAGATGTCGCTCGCTCAATGCAATACTTAACTAATATTCAATTTCTGAGGAACTATAGAACCAATGTCACTCAAATTTTGTATTTTGCCTCACAAAATTATATTCTGTAGAATGACGTACAAATTTGTATACCTTGAAATTCAAGATTTTTTTCGATTATTATTAAATAAAATAATAAAAAATAATAAATAATTATTAAAAAGTATTCTTTTTTTAATTATCCTTGGATAAACGAATTTTATAATTGTGTGCAACAATTTTTCGATTCACTTAAAAAATTCTTGAGAAATAGCGAAATTAACAAAAATTTAAATAAACATTAAAGGATGTAAACTTTGGACGGCTCTCCTGACCTACTATAGGGACCATATTTTCCAGATTGTTGATACCTCCATATTTTAAGGGTCATAAATCCAAATCAGTCAGGAAAAAAAGGTATGTTTATTCAGAGAAAGTAAATTTTTGTGTCTGATTTCGTAACTTAAAATATCATTTCCACAAATTAATTAGAATGTTTAAGGTCCCACCCTTGATCCATTACGATTGAGTACGTGGAAATCCAATCATTAAATCATAAATTATTCAGGATGTTTATTTTTTGTTTGTGTTTATTTTTATAACTGTTGTTGAACAGACAACCCAATTTTGAGTTTACAGCAACCAATGTGCAACTCCGTAGCCTTGTAATTTCGAACCCGATCCAGAAGACAAGAGAACTTCTGGATCAAGCATTGAGACAAACTTTGACCTTTGTGGAGAACTTTTTGATGCGATTAAACCGCACTTGCTTTACATGGAGAGGAAAACCACATAAACCTCTCACGATTAGCCTGATGGCAAGGGGATTCTAATTCATGATCCGTCTACTGTTCTAGTTATTTTCTGTGTGGAATTCTCTTTGGATAAACCAATCTTAAAATTGTATGTAAAAATTTTTCAACTTGTTTAAAAATTCTCGAGACATGGCGAAATACGCAAAAAGTAAAATAAACATTAATGGGTCCAAACTCTGTTGACCAAACTATTAGGACCATAGTTCCCAGATTACGGTTACCGCTTATACTTTGGAGGTCAGAAATTTGAATTCATCGAAAAAAAGATGTGTTTATTCAGAGAAAGTACGTTTTTGTAATATCTTAAAATATCGTCTGCACTGTCTAATTAGAATATTTGATGTCAGCCCCTCGAACTAAACGTGAGGAACTGATCATTAGAGCAAAAGTGATTCAGGGTAGTCCGTTCTTTATTATTATTTCTTTTTTTTTTTTTTGGAGCACTCTAACATTTATATAAAAACTTATAAAAATGAAGATTCATGTCAAAATACTACCAAACTAAATGGCTCTTACAAACCAGTCTTGACGTGATAGCCTTAAAGAAACAGTTTTGCTTAGTGGTCATCAGACTTGACAGGATGGGAGAATACAGCCGGGTAGCGTTTTTCCAATCCAGCTGCTTTTAACAACCAGCTCTTCAAAACCTTCAAATCAGCTATGAGGAGAGTAAAATCTCGAAAAGAGAACGAGTCGTTAAAAGCAGTTGGATTGTAAATTAGCCTATCACATAAAGTGGGGCCCTCTCAACTTTTTGAAATCTAATGGAATATCGTTTTAACTAGAAAGTAGTTTTGATGCCTCTTACACTCGGGGGTCCCGGGCCACTACCCTGTTTTCTCCAGTTGTGGCTACACCCCTGCTCGTCTAAATTTAAAGCCTATAATCACCTTCTAATTTGCTGAAACTGAGCCCGTTAAAGGTGTTGGATTGTAAATTAGCCTATCACATAAAGTGGAGCCCTCTCAAACTTTTGAAATCTTATACTTTCGAAATGTAATGAAATATCGTTTGAACTAGAAAGTATTTTTGATGCCTCTTACACTCGGGGGTCCCGGAACACTGCCTTGTTTGCTCCAGTTGTAGCTACACCCCTGTTCGTCTATATTTAAAGCTTATAGTCACCTTCGAATTTGCAGAGAAAATGAGCTCAGATTGAAAGGAAAAAAAATAGAAAAGTTGTAACAACTGTTAATATGTCAATACCCAGTGCCGGGAACACAAAAAACAATTTTTCTTCTCCAGATTGAACATGACCTTTTAATTAACTGATGATGTGCTGATGGATCGATGTCAGCACATCTCTCTCACTTTTTTTTCTTCTCACATCACACATCCAATCACACCCAATTGAAGACGTGAGCATCCTTCCATTCCATTTTTCATTAACACTGTGTCAGTTTACTCTCGGATCGAACGTTTCGAGGACGTTGACTTTCCCTATATTTGACACGTATACACAGCCATTGTGCCGCAGCTGTCAACAGGATGATTTGATCTAAGACGAATTTCATACATTTTAATACATTTGCTTAGAACAGTTGGTTACTGAGTGTATTTATCTATGATTTAAGAACTCCCTTATGTATTACATTCGATAATAATAACGCGTTAGCGCTATTTTTTCATTAAATAATATTAAACCTTGAAAATGTTTGATCAAAGTGATTTCATCAACCTAATCGCGCCATTTACTCGTTAGTTAAAATTTTTTCATACTTGTTAGTAATATTTATGCTCGGAACTCTTTATATACGCTAAGTTTTAATGAATTAAATAAAAAATCCAATGCTTTACAAATGTCTTCAGTATTTTCTATGCAGTCTGGTATTTTTTAAGGCTTATTACAATTTGCTCGTAGGTTAATTGACTAATGCACAAAGCGAACTGGGGAAGGAGCCTTTTAACTGTTTTAGTTTGATGTTTTTGTTTGCCTCACATCGACGATCTCTGATGCAAAGAAAGAGGCTCAACCTCAACCGGTTCTATTGTGTAACGAGTTTTGTTTTCTGTATTTATGAGGAAGGCAAAACCTCTTTGCACGTTTCAGAATCGGTTTTTATTTAAATTCGGAGAAAGGAAGTGGATTTTATGAGGCAAATATTTACGTTTTGGTTTTAAGATCGATTAGCAGCTAACTGCGTAACAAAATGAAAATTTGACTAGTTGTCTAAGCAAAAATTGCTCAATCAGCCTGACACGGCCTTAGGTTTATTGCAATGAGTCTTGTAGGTTCATAGCAGCAACAACTTGAAGTGAATCAGGAAAATTGAGTAATTTTTCGCATATTTTATGATTATCCTAAAGTTAATGGACTCATTGTAATAAGCTTGATTTAGGGTAATTAGATAATACTGGAGATTTTTTCACCCATACTTGGCTCACATATCGAAATATCGTTGAAGAAGTTGGATTTATCAATTAGCCTACGAAATATTTATAACTTTAAAATGTAAATATGGGTAAGTAATAATATCAAGCACTTTTACATTGCATCATGCTTGTTCACGCAGGCATCTATGGAAAATCGAGAATGTCCTGAAGTTACTGTGGTTTGCAGAACATGAGTACAGGATGCAACGTTAAAGAATTAAATTTACATTGATAAATTTAAAATGTAACTATGTGAACCTATTCATCAGGGATACGTAGAAATGCTAATATTCTCTAGTAATAACATCAAGCACTTTTATGTTGCATCATGCTACTTCACGCATATGGAGAATGGCGAATGCTTTATGCAGAACATGCATGCAGGATGCAACACGAAAGTTCAACACTGATGAGCCAAAAAAACTGGTACATGCATGAGTATGCAAATAAAGGGGTATGGAGCCAATCAAAGTACAGCGCTGCGATCGGCAATATAAGACAACGAGTGTCTAGCACAGTTCTTAAATCGGTTACTGCTGCTACAATGCCAGGTTACACAGATTTAAGTGAGTTTGAACGTGGTGTTATAGTCGGCGCACGGGACATAGCATCTCCGAGATAGCAATGAAATTTGAATTTTCACGTACGACCATTTCACGAGTATGCCGTGAGTATCGGAAATCTGGTAAAACATCAAATCTACGACATCGCTGCGGCATATTTAGAATGCCTTGCAACGTGATGTTCAGAAGATATCCCCACCCCCTCTTACTCCCACTGGTTTATGGACAGCCCTGCAGAATTCATGGTACCAATTATCTCCAGCACTTCTTCACACATTGATCGAATCCATGCCACGTCGTGTTGCGGCACTTCTGCTTGCTCGCGGGGGCCATACACGATATTAGGCACGTATACCAGATTTTTGGCTCTTCAGTGTAAATTCCTTTAATATGTTGTGCATGCATCAAACTTCTGTATTTTAAAGTACATAAAATTATTTACAGAATTGTGGATTGTAAATTTTAGGGGACTTCATCGGCATAACAAAGTCTATTCTTGGCTAACTCCATCGGTCTGTGTGAAAGCTTACAAACAGCAACTTATAGCCCCAGTACAGAAAGCAGCTTGCAAAAGGAACTTGGCCCTTATGCCTGTTATGGTGACCGCATCTCGACACGTTTCTGAAACCTGTCAAGAAACTTTTCGCCATAACAGATGGAACTGTTCGACTGTTGATCTGGCTCCACGATTTGAACAAGACATTCTCAGAGGTAGGCTTTGGTATGAACTTAAAGTTATAAAACATATTTAAAACCTGAATTTTGGAAAAGTATTTCATTTATTTCCCGAAGACTGTTTTCAATTGAAGGTTTAGTAATAAGCAGCAATCGTCTTAAGAAGCTGCTTTGCTTATCAAAATTTCGTGCATACTTTAGCTGAGATGGCTATGTACTTACTGTGACGACATGCTGATGACTGCTTAATTTTCCAGTGTTATCATTACACATTTCTTTCGATCTCATTTAGTGAATGCGGTGTGGATTATACGAGTTCGCAACTTTCTCACACAGGGGAATTTCCCTCTCAATTTCAGAAATAAAATTCGCTAACTTTATGAAACAATTAAAAGTTACTCAAGTTGCAATACAAAGTTATTATTAAATTGGCAAACTTTATGAAACATTTAAAGATTACGAAACAAGAGATTGTTAAACAAGGGTATTTGTGCAAATACTCTAATTTTAAGAAATCCAAAAGGAATTTAAACTTATTGCAGCAGATTGTTTTGCGAAACACTGTTTACTTTAAACAAAATTAGCTCCTTATCGTTTCAGTAAATTTTTAAATTGTTTCTTTTTTCGGATTTGTAACAAAATTTATTAGGTTTTGACACTAAAACATGCATCATTTCCTGATTTTAATTTTTCCAAAAAATCAAGTTCTTTGATAATCCCGGTGTCCTGGATCTCGAAAAAAATCTGACAGAATAGATAACTTCTACACAGCTCATTACATAATTCATTGCTAATCGAGCAGCAAACGTGCAAAGTCAAGTTGCTTAGGTGGATACTTTAGTCGAGATAGCTAGGTCGTTGCTGCATATTTTATTCATTCTCAAACATTTTAATGTGTTTGAGAAATAAATATTAGATAGTTCAGAAACGATAGGAATATCATCATATATTGCATATTGAATATAAGAGTTAGAGGAAGAACAGGCTATGTGGCAACTTTTTTAAATTCAAAAAATAAACATTCAGAATGTCTATAAACATCAAGAAGTTGTTTACAAAATATATCTATCAATTAAAAATAACTATATTAAAGTATATTAGCAATTGAGAGGTGTTTTTCAAAACTAATAATCGGGTGGTCTTGCAATTGCTCCAAGTTATGAGTTCATCCTGTAACGTTTAATCGGCACACCTTATTCATGCAAGATTTTAAATTATTGGAGATCATCTACAACAGATCCATTTTGCAAAGTTATCCAATGTTTCATCATACGATTTGTCAATTATGACATATTTTTAAAGTTTTCAAAATAATTTAACGTGCTTCTAATGAAGCATTTACAATTAAATTCTTGACCACTGAGTTCATTTTCCACCTTCTGTTTTCAGGAACTCGTGAACAGGCATTTGTAAGTAGTTTGGCAGCAGCAGGAATAGCCATCTATGTAGCAAGATCTTGTGCAGAAGGCAGGATAAAAACTTGCGGTTGCGGAAAGCAATCCAGAGAACCACCGTCATCGGACTTCAATTGGGGAGGATGTGCTGATAATGTGGGATATGGTGTCAAAGCTGCAAAGGCCTTCTCGTCTGAGCCGTTTGATAGGCGGAAGTTCAAAGCTAACGTCGACATTCGTTTGCATCGACATAACAGCAGAGTCGGATGGCGAGTAAGTTAATTTCTTTCTCTTTAAACTTCTTAATCTGCATTAAGGTATCGCAGAAGCTTACTCTGGCTAAATCTATGGAGTCAGAAAAAGTTAAGTCTCTAGGGATTATCTTGGCATTTTTTTTACAATTGTAAATATAAGTATTAAATACTTTACTACGGTAAACAACAACACCAGCACACGACCCGGCACCTATGTTCCCGAAATAAACAAATCAGTCGCTCAGAAGACATATCCGATTAATTTCCTGTTTGACTAACTCGAATTTCTTTCATAACAGCGTGGGTAAAAGTATACCATGATCTCGAAAAAGTCCTGTTAGCATAAGCATTGCATGATCCCCGATCGACTAATTCAGTCTGTGAATGTTTCCGAAGTGAGCTGGACATCTTTTGTGCATGTTGTTTTAAAACAAATTGGTAAGTATATCAAAATAAGAACAAACGAGCAAGTTCTTTTTTTTTCCGGAGCGATTCATTTGATTAGGGTATCATGATTACCCATACTTACAATTGTAGAAAAAGCGCCAAAATGGCTCAAGCAGAATATATAGAGTTCGCATCAGATTCAGTTGATCATGGCTTAAACCCTAATCATGGTTAATTGAGCCATAGCCATATACTGTTCCCAGACACGGGTTTGATTCGATATGGGACTCTCAATAAAAGGTTTTTCACCTATACGATTAGGGTTTAAAGGAAAAATCCCTTGTCAGTGCGACCTTGGCTACATCGGGTAAACTAAACGCTCTTTAAAATTTAGACTTAAGGAACGCGTTAGACATATCCGTTATCAAGAACACAAGAAATCTTCAATTGCCACTCATTGTTGGAATCATGGGCATAAGTTCAATTTCGAAAATGCTAGAGTTATTTCCACCCCAGTCATGTTGGCTCCTCTTGATACCCTGGAATTTTATTTAATTCATTTGAATGCTGATTTCCTTTTTAACGACGCTAGTTCCATCCGACCTCTCTATAACGCGTGGAAACACATTTTACCCTTATTAGTCTCTCGACCACTGTGTTTTTTTTTCTCGGCTTCTGTATTTTTTCTTATTTTTGTTTCTTACCTTTATTTTTACATTTTTCGTTGGCAACTTCGCATTTTTGTTGTTGTTACATTTACGTCTGTCAAGTCTTGAAAATGGGCGCCTACTTTTAAAGTAAATGAAGTTTTCCATCAGGTTTACTATATACTGGTTATTTTCATCTAAAACATCATTTATCGAAGTTAGTTATTTCTATTTTTAACACATAAGATTGTTCCGTTTTTCGAAGACTCTATCCTCACTAGAAATAACACTTTTTTTTTTTTTTTAAGAATAATATGTTGTTTTCATAACTACTGTGTGTTTGCAACAGACAACGTCCTATCTTTAGTCAACGCCCCTTATGCTAATTCTGAAAATGAGGAAAAATATCCACATGGAGAAAAGCTACAGTTTTATGAAAATGAAAAACGCTTGTGATTTAATTTATTAATATTTAAAAAATCACTCTGCCGCTACATTATCCGGGCTTGCAAAATTGAGACTTATTCATTAATTTAATAATTTTAATTGAAGTGGAAGAATATCGCAAAATTGTTGATTTCTTAAAAATTTTTTATTAATTTTAAAATATTTAAGCTCTTTATTTATTCGTTCTAAAGCCCAACTAATTCTTTACAGCAAAATGGTATTTGTTGTTTAAAATTATAGCTTTGCCTTAGGTGTAAGGCACATAAAATGTGGCTTTCTTTTATTTAACCTGGCGAAAAAATTCTGACAGAGCTAAAACTTGCTATTTATCGAAACTGTTATTATTATCTTGGGAATATTAGATATCCTTTTTTAACTTTTGAGTTTTCCATTTTCTATTATAAGAATGTTTATATGCTTGATTTTAATGAAACTATAGTCCTCATAAAATCAATCTTCATTAAAATTTCCTTTAGTTGATATCTAAAAATTCTTCATTAAATGATATTAATCGGAGTAAAAAATCATTCCTCATCAAATTTAATTCTTTTATCTGAATTCGTTCGTCGTAACGCTTTTATTCCAGTATTTTAATCCAGGTATAAAATCATTCTTATTAAAATTGATTTCATTCGATATCGATTTAAAAAATCATTCTTCGTTAAAATAGATTTCAATATCAATTTTTAAAATAATTTTTTATTAAAGTTGATTTTAATCTACTTATAAAATCATTCTTTGTTAAAATTGATTTTAATAGATTCATAAAATAATTCTGCATTAAAATTGGTTTCAATGAAGAATTAATTTTAATGTGTTTATAAAATCATTCTTCATTAAAATTAATTTTAATGAATTTATAAAATCACTTATTAAAAGTGATTTTAATAGATTTATAAAAGTATTCTCTTTAAAATTGATTTAAATCGATTTATAAAGTTATTCTTCGTTAAAATTGGTTTCCATCGATTTATAAAATCATTCTTAATTAAAATTAATTTTAATGGATCTATAAAACCATTCATTAAAATTGATTTCAAGCAATTTATAAGACCATTCTTCACTGAAATTGATTTCAATCAATTTATAAAATCATTGTTCATTAAAATTAATTTTAATGGATTGATAAAACTGTTCATTAAAACTGATTTCAATCGATTTGTAAATCATTCTTCATTCAAATTAATTTCAATCGATTTATAAAATCATTCTTCATTAAAATTGATTTTAATAGATTTATTAAATGATTCTTCATTAAAATTTGATTTTAATCGAGGTATAGAATCATGCATAATTGTTTGTCTTTACTGAAGATTTATTCACTCTGGAAAAAAAATACACTTTTTCTTTCAATACAAAAATATAAACTAATATTTTACATATTTCAAAAGATAATGATATAAAAAGAAAGAAAAAATAGTTGATAGAATTTTTTTCTGATTTAGATCTCTACCAATAAAAAAAAATCAAACAGCGAAAACATTATACCATCTTCAACACCGCGGAAAAAAGACAATGACAAAAAAAATAATAATAATTTCCCAGATGATTGTTTTTCTTGCGCGGTGTTAAGTTTCCTAATCAAAAACCGATAACCGATAGTCCGATGAAATATGTATTGACCACAAGAGCGAGGTTCGGAGAAAAAGTGTGGACAGCACAAGCTGTCGACGGCCCAGATAGTCTTCCAACTTCACAAACGTTGTTCTGTGAGTCAGTGTTCCCTGTTCACACTGATAATATCGCTGATTTAAAGGCCACCGACACTTATGATCTGTTACTCTGGCAAATCATCATTATCTTGTACTGATTGGTGAAAACAAGATCATGATTTGTTTGGGGAAAACTGCGAGAAAGATGAGGGAAAAAGGTCTCCATTAATCTAGATTCGAAAGAGAAAAAATTGCTTGAATTGTTGTTTATAGTCGGTTTTCAATCCATGATCTTTTAAGCTATTCGACTGGTTTCGACGCAATTTTTTTTTTCTAAAAAGGGTTTAATTAAAATTTTAATTTCATGTTTGATCAGCAGGAGCTGTAAATTTATAATTCTAAAGTGAAAGTTAAAAATTTATAGAATATTTTTTTAAAATAAACTAATTAAAAACTGCAAATTTGTGTCACGCTAACATAAAGTGACCACACGTCCCGATTTTGGCGGGACAGTCCCGCTTTTTAGTGGACAGTCCCGCGTCCCGCCGATTTTTAAAAATGTCCCGCTTTTTAGAAAATACCTGCATTTCTTATTTTAAATGTACTGTAAAAATATATTACCTATTATTTATTAAGTATTATGGTGAATATAAAGAAATAAAAAATACATTAAAAAAAAGCACGTAAAATGCATGCAGAGTAAACTAAATTAGGCAATGTACCGAGTTAGATTTACTCGGTGGTGTTCGATCATTGTCGTTACGTCTCGGCTTAATTCAGATAAGTGCAGACAGTGCAGTTTGTTGTTTTCAATTTGACGTTCGGTTTGACTCATTATTTGATTGACGAAGATAGTGGTAGAGCAATAGTCGCCACAACGTAACGGTCAATAAGGTAAAATTTAAAAATCTTTTTTAGCCTTTGTAGTAAATTTTTAATTTATTTCTAGTATTTACCCACAGAATAAAAGATGAGTAAAAAAAGAGAATGCAAATTTAATGAAGAGCTAAGCAGAGAATTTCAATTTATTAAAAAAACCAAAATAGACTATATGGTACGGTGTGATAAATGCAATGCTGAATTTTTGNCGGTAAATTTATAATTCTAAAGTGAAATTTAAAAATTTATAGAATATTTTTTTAAAATAAACTAATTAAAAACTCAAATTTAAGTCACGCTAACAGCTCTACAACAAATTGTGATGTATGCATTTTAAAATAATTGTTTTCCTGGATTAATAATGTGATTACCTTTGCTTTGAATAAAATCCTAAAAACATTTCAAAAATACGATGAAATAGAACTAAATGTATTGTTTAATATTGAATTTTTAAAGAAAAACTCGAAATATTCTTCTTGCTTAAAGCTTGAAAAAATAACAAGTTCGTACATAGACTTCAGCTTTTACTTAAAAACATAGCTAACATTATACAAAATTTACATAAAAAATTTCAAAGTAAAAAAAAATTTTTTTTTGTAATGTGCGCTAGCTTTAAGAAATTTTCTGTTCTTCAGAATATGCATTGAAAATAATGCAAGAAAATTCAGAAACGTAAGAAAATTTTGAGAAAAAAAATTATTAATTCGAAAATTAATAATTTTTAAAAAAGTCTTAAAAAAGAATTCATTTTGGTAATAAATTTTGGTTAAACCACTCAAAGCTATAGCATTTTTGAGTAGGAACTATAACAGAAACTATAACTAGGAACTATAACATTTTTAAATACCGATTCTTTTGAGACTGGATATACTCTGCTCGGTGAACTCTTAGACGCAGAATTTTTCATTCCTTTTTCACTATTTTGCATTAATTTAGGTCGAAAGCCTGGTTGCCACGTAGCTGGACTCACCTCAGTGAGAACGGGAGTTCGAATCCATCCAGCTGTCCGAAAACTTCTCGTGAAGTAAATGGTGACTGGTGCAGGTTAAATCTGTCGGGTCACAAAGCCATCCATGTCCCCATAACAAATCAATACCTCTGGGGTACTAATTTGGAGATTGATCATTCTCTGGTTCAGGTTAAAATTACGATCTGTGGATGAATGAATGTATATATGAATGGGTCCGCCCTATAAACGGGTGTGACGAATGCGTGTGGCACAAGTCGAATTCTTAGCCATAGATGGCGCCACCGTAAAACAAGAGCAATCGCACCCCCTCCGCCTTATTGACCACGACAACAAAAATACCAGAACATATTTTTACTTGTAATTAGAGGGTCAGAAAAGAATCAAAACCTTGCGTCAAAGGGCTAAAAACATTACTCGCAATCATGATACTCGTTTATACAAAGATTATACAAAGTTTATACTACGCAGCCAGTTTCCTTTATGATTATTTATATTCTAGGCTGTACGATCATCTGGGCGCCTTCAGTGTAAGTGTCATGGTGTATCTGGGTCCTGTGAGCTGAAGACCTGCTGGAAGGCGGCTCCCACTCTCATGGAGGTCTCTCAAAAGCTCAAACTGAAACACAGGGATGCTGAAGAGGTTCATTCGGTGCCTGTGGGGAGGAGAAACAAGCTCCTGCCCATCACAGCCAGATTCAACAAAGACGATCTCGTTTACACAGTTCAGTCACCAGATTATTGTGTTTATGACCCGAAAACAGGATCAAGGGGAACAAAAGGAAGGTAAGAATATTCGTGATACCTACTTTCAGCAGTGTATTCATTCAGGGTGTTCCATAATCACCACCCTTAGCACATACGCTTAGAATTCTTGTCGAAACGGATTCCACACTTAGAGGCTGAACATTGTATTCAATTAAGGGAGAAACAAAAATACTGTCGAAATCAGTCGGATCAATTGCGAGGCAGGGGGAATTGAAAACAAAACATTGAAACCAGTTTGAATGATGGATGAAACTCTGCAAATTTCTATTTTTCTTTTCGACAGTCAAACAGGTTTCAATGTTTTCTGTTCCCGTCTTTCTCTACAATGGTTCGGCAGAATTTGATAATGTTATATTGTTCTTGTTTTGTCTTTCCTTTCTTATATATTAAATTGTGACTCTTTGCGCGCTTACTTTTGACTTATTTATGACAAGGATTATAAAAGCATAGAGTGAGGGCGGTCATACCTGAACACCCTGTATGTACTGGTTCTATCCAAATTAAAAAATGGTTCGGTGAAAACTGATTTTCTGAACATTTTCGCCTTCCAATGAGGTGAACCGGGTTAGAATCCCAGCGATTGCTGGTCGATACGAATTCTGCATCCGGCTTGCACCGACCACATTGCCGACGAGAAATATGCTCAGTGGTAGAGTCGCCTGGCTGTCGGGCTTAGTTGCATCAAAAAGTCTTACACGAAGGCAAATTTCTCCAAATACTTGATCCAGGAGTTCCCTTGTCTTCTGGATTTGGCTCGAAAGTACAAGGCTACGGATTTGAACATAAGTAGTCGTAAACCCGAAAATTGTGTAGACTGTTTACGACGGTAATAAAAAGTAAATACTTAATAGAGCAATGGTTTAGGGAATATAACATTTGCCTTCCAAAGTCGACTCAAGTTCGAATCCAGCGATGGCTGACTGATACGAATTTTACTTCCAGCTTTTCCTGATCGCAGTGCTGACATAAAATATACCCAGTAGTAGACGCATTGTGGCCTAATCGGGGGAAGTTTTCCTATCCAGTTCATCAAGCCAGTTTGCCCCAATGCTTGATTCAGGAGTTTTCTTGTTTTCGGTCTAGGCTTAAAACTAAAAGGTTACGGAGTTGAACATAAGCTTGAAAATCTACAAAACATTTTTTTTTAATTGTTACTGTTTTATATTTCCCAACAATCAAACCGTGAGATGTTTTCTTAGAAGTTGTTGTTAACATTGCTCCAAATCCTCAACAAGAATTGTTGTCGACTTGCTGACATGCAATTTTTTTTTTTAACATAACTTTTTTTCTGGTACATACTGTAGAAAAAGTATAGATATTTCCAAAAAAAAAAAAAAAATTTTAATAATTTTTTTGGATCTTTATTTAAAAATTTTTTTTAAAAAATAATTATGTGCATAGCTTCTTTTCAACAGGTTTTGCAATAATGAATCACAGTGCAAATAGGATTTTATGAAGAAAAAAATAGACACTAGGGAAGAGGTCATTCTTTCCTTGTAAATAACGTGCACGCTTCTATCATGTTAAAGTTTTATAAGAAACTAGTGGGCTGCGCCCCCTGTTCGCTAACGCTCGCCAACCCCGAAAATCACTACGCAATCTTATATGGTTTGCTTCGCTCGCTACTAACTTAGGTACATTGCAAATGCACAAAATTCTAAGAATTCAAAACAATCATTCAAATCAATATAGCAACTTTTNGGATTTGAATGATTGTTTTGAATTCTTAGAATTTTGTGCATTTGCAATGTACCTAAGTGAGTAGCGAGTGAAGCGAGCTTGGTTTGCGAAGCAAACCATATAAGATTGCGTAGCAATTTTCGGGGGTAGGCGAGCGTCAGCGAGCAGGGGGCGCAGCCCACTAGTTAGCTTGAAAATCTATGACATAATTTTAATTGTTATTTTTTTTATATTTCCCAACAATCAAACCGTGGGATGTTTTCTTGGAAGTTGTTGTAAACGTTTCTCCAAATCCTCAACAAGAATTGTTGTCGATTTGCTGACACACAATTTTTTTTAACATTAATTTTTTTGTGACATATTGTAGAAAAAGTATAGATATTTCTGAAGAAAAAAAACTTTTAATAATTTTTTGGATCTTTCTTTTAAAAATAATTATGTGCATAGCTCTTTTTCAACTGGTTTTGCAATAATGAATCCCAGTGCAAATATGATTTTATGAAGAAAAAAAAGACACTAGGGAAGAAGTCATTTTTTCCTTGTGAACAACGTGCACGCTTCTATCTTAAAAAAGTTTTATAAGAAATTATAACCTTTAAGGAATATTAAAAACAAATCAACAATTAAAAAAAAAAACTTGGTTAGTAAAATGAGTATAAATAAATAAAATATATTTGAATCATGTCATAAAATTATTTTGACCCCAAGACATTTCTGTATACCTTAATCGGTCACTTATATCATGAATCCTAAAAGGTTCAACTTTATATTTTTTATTACCGGAAGGTTAGGACTTATTTTTAGAAAATGTTTATTTAGAAATTTTATGTGAGACGCGAGGCTATAAATCATTTCTTTATTAGTTTTGATGCCAAGTCAATTTATTTGTATAGAGTATCATTTAAAATCTAGTAAGTTTCTAAACATTAGTCCTTTATCGAAGTCGTATTTTTAAATGGATAAATTGTATACATTAGTTTGCAGCAAAACATGTTATGAATCACAAAACATGTGATTTAAGATAACGCGGAAGTTTTGTGAGTTATAAATAAATTACAAAACTTCTTGCAAAATGTATGCACTGAAATTTGTCCCCTGCTATTTTAGGATTTTATCGTGCCGACAATAAATTTATACCAAAACAGCTATCCATAGTCCATACATGCACAAAGAATCTCTATTTTATTTTATTTTATAACCGTCGTTGAACAGTCGACCTAATTTCATGGGTTTACGACTACTAATATTCAACTCCGTAGCCTTGTAATTTTGAACCAATCTAGAAGACAAGGAAACTCCTGGATCAGTACCCCCAGAGGTATTGATTTGTTATGAGAACATGTAAGTCTTTGAAACTCGACAGATTTAACGTGTATCAGTCATGAGGAGTCTTTTGCCGGCGAGGATCGAACCCACGACCTATTGGACATGGGCCCAGAGCCCTACCGAGCAGGCTATCCCTGCCCTTGAAGAATCTCTATGAATAGAATATTTTTGTCTACGATTTTTTGCTCTCATTTATTATATATATATTTTTTAAATGCATTTAGTCACTCAGATGGTATGCCATGTAGAGTGGTCGCCAACCACGTTGTGTTTCGGCCAATAAGGAAAGGAGTGCGATTGCTCTTGTTTTCCAGTGGCGCCATCTTTGGCCAAGAATTCGACTCCTGTCACACCCGTTTATAGGGCGAGCCAGTCCATACATTCATACACAGATCGTAATTTTGACCTGAACCAGAGAACGATCAATCTTTAATTCAGTACCTCCAGAGGTTTCGATTTATTATGGGAACGTGGAGGACTTGGTGACCCGACAGATTTAATGGGCACCAGTCACCATTAACTATCGGGGAATCTTCGGCTGGCGAGGATCAAACCCTAGACTTGGCCCCAATACCCTACCAATCAGGCTATCCCGGCCATAAGCTACACTAATGGGGGTTTATTTCAAACATAATATTGACGCACACAGTGGCAGATGGTAGTAGCAATTAGCCGACCTCCACACCAGACTCCCCAACCATTTGTGACTTTTCCGGCTATGAAACCGCCGGGAAATTATATTAAAGTGGATTACGAGCCTCTGAAACACGATGAATGAAAGAGCAATTCGATCAGACACCAAGCCTTAAGAATAATACATTGAACCCCGGTCGAAGCCGTGGCAGGTGAAGACTAAATAGACCACCCTGACTGTGTCACCTCATTTGAATAAAAACACTTTTTTTATATGTAAAACATATTATATATTTTTATATATCTTCTATTGCGAAATGTATCCACTAATTATTTAGCTTGTACATCTTCAAAGTTGGTCTCCCCCTTCATCTTTAAGAATTTACATAACTGGTATTAACTTCACAGCCATGATAGATGTGAAAAAGCTATTTTCCTTTAATTAAATAGAAAATATCCACGAAATAAGAAAATATTCAGCAGATACCTGCTATCATCAGAATATTTCTAAATATTACATGAAATGGTTTAGGTTATATTTTAATTATTATTAATATTATAATGACTGATAATTTCGTCTTTTATTTATATAGCTAGAGGGTAGAGAGCACATAACAATAGAGAATCGTAAAGCAACCCATGACCGAAAATGTTTTTGTACGACACCAGGGGTGAGCCCATCCTTGCGCATTTGAACAGGCACTAATATTTGTCGAAATTATTTTAATTTAATGTCTTCTAATGATTATTGGCAGAAATTCCATTCAAATAGACTATTTAATGATGTGGCGACCTATTTTCCGAATCTCCTCAAGTCATTATATTTCCGAGCCTATTTAAATGCAAGTTTCGAATGTAACTATTAGAAAAAATAAAATTGAGATAATTTAAATAAATAAAAGCACCGGTTCAAAAGCGTAAAGACACAGTTCCCAGTAGAGCACCGAAGTCAGGCATTATTGACTGCGGCCAGTAAGCGGGTGGGTGATTTTGATCAGCCTGCGTAGGGACCGAAGGTGCGCGGTATCTGTCCTTGTTAAACTGTTCGACCGTAAAGTGCTTGACTTCGCGCAGGTAGTCGGGCTACCAAAGCAGGGGAGCCATCCTCTCTGCAGAGGATCAAAATTGCGATGGCATGTCTTCGGATCATCCGCAGGGATGTTTCCCAGACCGTCGTCAATAGCCCATTGTGCAGCTCTAGTTAAGACGCAAATTAAATACCTACCTGAAACGCTAACAGACAGCCAGTCAAAGAAAGGAAACCGGCGTACGATAACATTTTCGGTCATGGGTTACTATACACCCTCAAAGTTTATAAGCGTCGTACTAAATTATCTTTCATTGGATTACCATAATTCTTTTTGTTTTGTAGGGAATGCAATGCGACCGGAGAGGATTCATTTGGATGCAAGGAGATGTGCTGTTCAAGGGGTTACCTCACATCGTGGGATGAGGTCGAAGAACGATGCGGTTGCAAGTTCCAACGATGCTGTTACGTCACTTGCAATACATGCAAAAAGAGAACACACGTCAACCTCTGTCTGTGAAGACGTTAATGGAATGCGTTACAATTTAAATTAAACCACGCATCAACCGAATATTGATGCGAGCAAATATTCTCGAGCTTGTTATCCCAGGAGCTGGGATGAAGTAAGCTTGGAAAGCTTATTGAAGTGCATCATGGCTGCAATGTTGAACACTTCTTGTTGAAATATTAAACTTGTTGAAATATCAACCGAGGTTTAATGATGCTCTCGAGCTTTCTGTTTCAAACGAAGAAATGGTGTAAACTTGGAAAGCTTTTGTTGAAGTAAGCATCACCTTATCTGTTGACGCAGATTTTCTCAAGTTTTCAGTTTCAAACGAAGGAATGAAATAAGCTGGAAAAACTTTTGTTGAAGTATGCATCAACTTAGTATTGATGCAAATGTTCACAAGCTTTCCCAAATTTATTAGGAGATGCTTGAACAAGCAAAGGAATGAAGTAAACTTGGAAAGCTTTTCTTGAAGCATTTATCAACTTAGTATTGATGCAAAATGTTCTCAAGTTTTTTGTTCCAGAAGAAATAATAAGAAAACTTCTTTTGTTCCACGTCTATGGTTGAACTGTTGAAAAAAATCTTCTTGTTTAGTGATGTATGCTAGTTGAATTATGAATCCTGAAAAATATGCTTATTATGTACAGATAGGTCTCTGGCATTATTTTTTAAGAAAACAGAGACTGATTCAGTTTCAGCTTGCTATGGAACGACATTCACAAGTAACAAACAACATTCAGACCAGTCACTGTTCACCAATTTTTATAGTTCAGAAAACACTCGGAAGTGTTGTTTTTCGCAACTTGTTTTCATTTAAAAAAATGCTTGTTTTTGGAAATTCTTTTTGACATCTATAGTTGATCTATTAGAAAATATTTCATGTAAGATTTGGCTCATATAAAAAAAAAAAGAGGAAAATTATCTTCAATCGTATTTTAAGAATTGAGCACTGGAGCAAAATTTAATACAAAAAGGACAAGAAATAAATTTTTTACGCTGACCATTATTTGACTACCGTTTTTTCTCTTCTTCACAATATGGTGATAATTTTTCATAATATCATCTAAAATGATAAAATTCTTAACAAATCATCGTATTTGCTAGTTAGAGACCTAGGAGATTTGCATGATACAAGATCTATAAGTACTAAGTGCTTACAATTGTGATAAGTTTGGAAGAGATTGAATACTATTTTCTTCAAAAATGTATTGCTTACAATAAATTATTTTTTGACTTAACTCATTTTTTTAAAAACTTTCACAATGGTTAATGTATTTGTACTTTAAATCATAAAAAAAACTTGAGTTATAAATTTGGCATAAATAATAAATAGCTTTAGCACATGGAAATTTAACTTGAATAGTTTGCACACATAATCTGATAATTTAGGGCAACATGTGTTCTGAGCCTTCCTCAGCATTTCTTTGCTGGGTGCGTATAACATTCTTATACAATGAAAGTCTTGGATCATTATTTTGTAACTGTACCACAAAATAATCATTGGCCACAATGCGACACAGACGCACACACATACATACTGTCCGGCCATCACGAGAACTCTTTCAGACACTCGTGCTAATTCACTTTGAATAGGGGTGTGGGATGAGTCGTATCGTATTTTTGTAGGTTGGGAGAGTCATGTCATTTTTCAAGCCTTCAACACCAGAATTTTTTTTAACTCATGGCAGCAGACAACTTCATACTTTTATTCGAGTGTTCTCGAAATCGCTGAATAGTACATAAATATTCTTTACTACAGAATCGTCCAGAGTTTTATCCAAGTGCTTTCGCAGCAGTTTTTTCCCAGATTTTCTGTGATTTTAAACCAATTTTAATTTTCCTAAAGCGTAAAAACTTAATGAGCTATCCACACCACCTGAGGTTTTAGGCAAAATTTTTTTTTAAATTTTCGTTATTTTTTCTCTCAATAAACTTTTGGTGATTCGGAAGCGCTATATTTTTCAAAAATGATCGAAAACAAAAGTGTCGCTTTATCAGATAAGGAGAAATAACGCTTGACAATTTTTAAATCTTTGATTTTTCACAAAAATGGAAAGCAATTAAATTATGTTGTAAGTCACTTAGAAAAGATAATTTCCCACAGTACAATTGCGTGAATTTTAAGATTTCCTAAACGTACTATTATTATTGTTGAAGCTGATGGAAATTGTTTTGGATAATGTTGAAAAATTGTCTTAATAAAAATTACACTAAAATAAAGATAATGACAAAATCTCTATAAGCAAATATTCTACAATCAATAATTTTTTTAAAAAGGTAGCAAAATACTACGCAACTTTTAAAAAATGTTGATTGTTAGAATAATTTTGTTAGCAAAAAATTAATAGAAAAATACTGCGCGCTATTTTTCACAAAATCAGATAGGGACAAGCCCCCCCTTTTTTTTACATAATTTGATAGGCACTATGGAATAAAGTACAAATTCAGCATCTGTTTATTTATGAAAATGAAATAAAGATTATTAAAAGCATAGTTAAAATTTCTCAAACAGTATTTTTTCCCAAAAAAATATCACACACACGTTGATATCAGCAAAATATCATTTCTGGACTTTATAACATCCTAATCAAAATACTCTAACAATTTCAATAAAAAAGAGCTGCTAAAATTAAATAAATTTTTTATTAACAATGAAAGTTTGAACAGTCGAACGAAAAATTACACATGCAAAACAATACAAACAATATTTGCATAAAAAGAGCTTTGGTTCCATCACGATAAACTAGTAAGAAATTAAAACAAGTTACAAATTTCAGACTACAGATGAAATTTAAATGTTTACAGTTTCAGTCTTTTTTAAAAATTATAACATAGCACACAGTGTTCCACATTAAACACTCTTAATATATATTTTTAGAATACAAATTAAAAAAATGAATACAAAATACAATTTATTCATTAGGATTGTAAATGCTTATGAATAATTAAAAAATTACCATAAATAATTAAGTGGGGGAAAAAAACAGAACGTTTCTCAAACTAACCAATCATCATTTAGTCCAACAAGAGCAAGGGAGGGATTAAACAATCAAAAACCAGTTTATTTGATGATGATACTTATAGGCAGTAGCTAAAAAAAGCCAACATATTACACTTCCTAACCTGTTAAAGCACAAAAACTTTTAAATTCTATTCGTAATTAAATATTAGTTTCTACAATGTATAGTTTTTGATTTAATTTTTACAAAGATTCTAAAAATACATATTACAAGCAGTTATTACAGAACACCCTATATATTCCAGTACAAAAATAATCCTGCATTTATATTACAGTATCAAATTAGTGTAATCCTTGAATAACAAGTGGACTATAACTAACTGAACTAAAAAAAAGTCAACATTTAGTTAAAACTCGAAATAAGCCGTTAATTCTCACACAGTGAGCTAATAATTTTTTTTATAAATAAAAGTAAATAAATATTCACAAGTTATGAATTAAGACAATATATAGTAATTCATGCATATAACTATATGTAAATATATATTCTTTATATGATAAAAAATTGGAAAACATACATAGTATAGGAAATAGGTGAGCTTTATGAACAATTAATTGGAAGATGAGGATATTGAAATATTCCCTGTAAGTATTGAAAATGCAACACCCAAAGGGGTAATCGGAAGTGTCAAAACAGTTTAAAATAAAAGTGAAAACAATCAATCAACGCACCCTAACATTAATACATAGTTCATGAATTCATTAAATTAAAGACCAAAACTATTTAAAATTAAGAAGGTGTTTTAAAATGGCACAGCAGAAAAGAAAGTACACATAAAAATTAAATTATGACAAAGAATTATTTGTTAACATCTTTGATATCTTGTATATCCATGTAATATGTTCTTTAATGCTTTTGCATGTAATACATTTCAGTTCTATATTTATCTGAAGTCAAATATTCTTCATTATATAAATGCTATGTAACAATGATAATCTTTAATGTTTTTGCACATTTTGAGTTTTAGTTTGAAAACAAATAATGATTAAAATTTTTTTCCTCATTAAACACCATGTAACAATTAGTACTCCTTTAATGTTCTTGCATACAAGAAATTTGAGTTCTAAATGAAATATTTTTTCTTATTAAATGCAATGTAACAATCAGCACATCTTTTAATGTTTCTGCATACTAGAAATGTGAGTACTAAATCAAAAAATTTCATTTTATTTTATTAAACACAATGTAACAATCAGCACATCTTTAAATGTTCTTACGTACTAGAAATTTGAGCTCTATTACTAGAAATATTTTTCTCTCTCATTAAATACCATAAAAGAGTGAGCATGTCATGTACATAAGAATTTTGAGTTCTAAACTAGCGTAAAACCAAATATTTTTGTTATGTTATTAAACTGGAAAACAGCATCCCTCATAATAAATATTTTCTTCCAAGAACTGGCATGGTATTTTATAGTTATGCTATTGACACTTGTTTGGCAATTTTAAAAAAATAATAAAACTTGTGATTGAACCTATCTGATTTACTGATAGTGCAGGAATTTTGAATTAAAAAAAAAACAACATATTTTAGTAAATTTCCGAACTATTTTTATTGCACACAAATATTTTAGCAGACTTACTTGCAATTAAAATGTTAACAAAATTCTTTATCAGTGGCATTTCCTTGCTTAGCGTTAACAAGCAAACAGTCATAGATGTGAGTAACTTATGTCTTGATTTTGAAACTGATTGAAGAATTTTTAGTTTGGGAACTAGATGAAATTCAAAATAAAACATTCTGCCAAAAGTAAGCAATGCAGAAATTTTAAAACATATTTTAAATAATCCAAAAGTATGAAGTATTTGTGAAAATAACATAATGTATTCACATAAAACTAATTAACAGAAGAGCTTTCTGCTAAGAAACAGTGTTCTCTCCAGATGGTATACTTAAGAATTGCAACCATGAACAACTTTTGTTCTTGCTTACAGCGATATGTAGTGAAAATTTTTCATCAGGATTCAGTTGTAAACAATTACAACTTTGAAAGCATTGGAACAAAATTATTTAATAAATTAATATATCAATTTTACTTTTATATGACCACTAACAAATTTTAACACATATAAATTTTCTGATGTTTGTTTACAGAAAAATATCTAAAAAGTATTATGTTGAGATGGAATAGCAGAGTTTTCAATTTAAAAGCTTCATTCGCTGTAGAAGTAAAGATGCATTTCCGTACAGCAATTATGAAAAACAAAAAGAAATGTTTTTGCATACTCCAGTCTAAGTTAAATGCTGATAATGTTTAGATTTTTAATCATGAAAAAAAATGGAAAATATTTTTGAGGATGTAAAACAAATAGATGGTACAAAAGTTAAGAAAGCTTACATACAAAGTTGAAGTCTAATGATGTTTAAAATATCCACTATGCAGATTTAAACAAATTATGTATAAAAAAGTAAACAAAGCTCACAAAATAAACTGGTAAACAAACATTGCTGCCCAAGAAAACTGGTAGGGTGGATTAAAAAGTCAGCAAGTATAATAAACAAAGCAATCCACATTAACATTACATATATCTTAACCTGAAAATAAACTGAAAATAAAGCAAAGATATTTTTCATTTCATTTTAGGCTCACCTTTCATAAATGAAGTACTTTTAAAAATATGACAATGAATTAAAAAAATATAAATATAAAAAGGCAGTGTCAAAAGATGACTAGAGCTCTTTTTATTCTTTAACAAAAGAAAAAGAAACACAAATAATGGCAAGAAATTTTTTATTTTATAAATTCTTAAAATGTTTAAATTTAGAAATCATACATTGTTTAAGAAATCTTAGGTCGACTGTCGAATGTTAGAATTACCCTGTCATGAAACAGAAAATGTTGGGAAAAAATTAAATTAAGAAAAAGAGAAAGGCATATTTTTCTCTGTCTGGTTTTACTATTTGCATCATTTAATAACATGAATTATAAACTTTAGTTTCTCAACAAAATCCAAAATAAATTCCTTAATATCATTAAATAAATTAATAAAAGGTGAAAAAATATATAAATGAGACATTTGGTTTTAAATATATATGTATGACCTAGACACTTGCATTTTGGTAAATTAAATTTAAAAAAAAATATATTTGAAACTGGTTTGATTCAAAATATAATACAAATTCATATAAAAAATACATATAACAATACATTTTGTACCAAAATGAATTTCATTGAACTTACTTTGGTTTCTTAAATTTAGTGGGGGGAAAACATTGACACCTATTTTAATTTATTGTTGAGCTACATATCTTTAAATGGTAAATAAGTTAGTCTAATTCTTCTTAGGTAATATTTAATTAGAATCTTAGCTTGTAAATTAAATATTACTTAGTTTAATAATTAATAAAATTAAAAAAAGTACATACATATATTATTTCAAAATATAAAACTTTATTTCAGAAAACAAATCCATATTTTTAGGGTGTCCCTGAATTTATGGACCACACTTTAAGAGGAGTTAGGGCACATCATAAGGATTGAGAATAGCATAGCAACTTATGGGAGGAAATGTCATCATGAGCAACTACACTCTCCTTTTCATTATGGACTGGCTGTTCATGCACATTTGAATTGTTACTTTAATTTATCTAAATAATCCTATGCAAATGTCCTATAATCCTATGCTCCGCAGCAAATTGGTTAAAAATCACTAAATACTAATAAAACCACAATTTATGCATTGATTTAAATGAAAAAAAATTTGAACAATTTTAAAAATTTAATTAACGGAAATTATCAGAAAACATAAAATTTAGATAAATAAAAGTACCAGTACAAATGAAAGGGAAAAACATGCCAAGTCGCATATATTTCTGATCATAGGCTATTATGTAATTCTCAATACTTATTGTGTATCCCCTTAAAGTTTAGCCCATGGATCCAGGGGCATATTGTACGCAGAAAATATTTAACAAAAAAAAGAAAACACCTACATAGTGTAAAAAGATTGTATTGATTGGGGGAGGGGAGAACAAAGCAGCTTTTGTTTCAAATTATTCTAGAAATTTAACTTCAGATAAGAAACTTGAAAGCAAAAATAAACACTTAAAATAATTATAATTAATTAATAAAAAAGTGCAATGAAGCTAGTCAAGTTAGTTTTAGAACCAAATGCCCCAAGTTCATACGAACATTAACACTCATTCTTTTTAACTAAAATGAAACAACACTTTTTCAGATAAATTNGGAGTTAGGGCACATCATAAGGATTGAGAATAGCATAGCAACTTATGGGAGGAAATGTTAGCATAAGCAACTACTCTCTCCTTTTCATTATGGACTAGCTGTTCATGCACATTTGAATTATTACTTTAATTTATCTAAATAATCCTAAATTTCATTTTTTTCAAATCATAATTGTCGAAAATCGCATTTAAATAGAACCACAGTAGCTGTTTTATCGTAATTTAATGACTTAAACTAAGTTGGTGAGCGCAGAAAATTGGTTAAAAATCACTAAATACAAATAAAACCGCAATTTATGCATCTATTTAAATGAAAAATAATTTGAACAATTTTAAAAATGTAATTAACGGAAATTATTAGAAAACATAAAATTTAGATAAATAAAAGTACCTGTTCATATGAAAGCAATCAACATGACAAGTCGCATATATGATATTTCTGATCATAGGCTATGCAATTCTCAATACTTATTATGCATCCTCTGAAAGTTTAGCCCATGGATTCAGGGGCATATTGTATGCACAAAATATTAAAAAAAAAAAAAAAAAACACCTACATAGTGTAAAAAGGTTGTATTGGTGGTGGTGGTACGGGGGGGGGGGAAATAAAGCAGCTTTTGTTTCAAATTATTCCAGAAATTTAATGTCAGATAAGAAACTTGAAAGCAAAAATAAACACTTAAAATAAATAATTATATTTAATTAATTAAAAAGTGCAATGAAGCTGGTCAAGTTAGTTTTAGAACCAAATGTCTCAAGTTCATACGAACATTAACACTCATTCTTTTTAACTAAAATGAAACAACACTTTTTCAGATAAATTTAAAATAATTAATAAATTACTAAGTTCAGCTAAATAATTTAATAAAATTCTCTATTCTGTAAAAAAGTACAACTTCTCAAATATAAAATATCTGCTTACAGCATATAAAATAGCTCTTTGTAATATATTACACTTTATTAATTTTTTTTAAATGGAAAAAGACAACTACATAGCATTTGAAAGACTTAGAATGAAATAAATAGAAACAAAATGAAATAATATCAATACATTTTTTTCTTCTTCTTCAGGTTGATGGCAGATTTTAAACAAACCTGAATGAATGCTTTAACTTTCAGTATAATGAATAAATACAGCATATACATAATGATTAATAATTACAAAAAACAAAAATGTTTCCTTCCTTAATTTACTATTAAATAGTAATTATTCTAAACCTAGTATATAGTTAATGAACTGTACAAGAATGAAGATGAGTGGTTGCCAGGCAACTAGATACCTTATAAAATCTAATAAGCTTCCATAAAAAACATGAGGTTTTTCCCATCTAGAAAAAGTCAGTTAAGAAAAAACTTTTGAAAAATAGAAATTCATTGAAATCTTATTTTATGGTAAAACAGTGATTCAAATACGTTGTACAGCGAACCCAACTTTTGGGTTTATGACTATTAATGTTCAACTCTGTAGCCTTGTAATTTTTAACTCAATTCAGAAGACAAAAAAAAAAAACTCCTGGATCAAGTATTGGAGGAAATTTGCCTTAATGGAGGACTCTGTAATGGAACTAACCCGCATTTGCGTTACATGGAGAGGAAAACCACAAAAACCTCCTGCAGTTAGTCTGATGGCAAGGGGACTCTAACCCATGATTCGTCTACCACCGAGGATATTTTACATCAGCACTGTGATCGGTGTAAACTGGGTGCGGAATTCGTATCGACCAGCCATCGCTGGGATCCCTACCCGGTTTACCTCATTGGAAGGCGACTGCTTTATCCCCTGACCCACCACGGCTTTGGTACTCATTAGAGATGAGATCAACCTTACTTTTGGGGAACTCTGCCAAGTATCATCTAGAAGGGATAAATTAACAAAGGGAAAATTAAGGCTCACTGTTGACCACAGGGTAACTAGATGAAACAAATAGCAATTAAAACATTGTCTGAAAATCACCATTATTTTTTAAATCAAAAATGCACCATGCGTTTGTTTTATCATTATTTTCTTCATTAAATAGGGAATTGATTTGAATATTTTATAATATTCAGAAAATTACTTTATTTTACATTTGTTTTTTATAAGATTTCTTCTTTTTAGAAATTAAACTGGTAATGTTTATCATATTTTGAGAAATTGCTTACGTTATTCATATAAAAATTTTCAACCAATTAAATTTTCGAATTATAGAAAAAGTGGTCACATGTTAAAAAATACTTCAACTGAACTCTAACAAAATTTCCTAATTTTGCCCAGAAGGGTAGTAAGTTTCCTAAAGGGTCCTAAGTTTCCCAGTTCGGAAGAATAGCTTCAGCCAAAAAAGTCATGCAGAGGAATATGGGAACAATGGCCTCAAGCATCCAGCTAAAAGGAGGATCAAATCTAAGACTAAAGACACTATAACTTTGAATGCATAATAATTTTTAGAGAAGAGCAAGGAAGATATTTTTTGGCAGTTGATTGGGATTGAATCAAGGACTTTTGGGCCCATATTCTAACCAACATGGAAAAGTGTACACACGTCTGAACCAAGGTTTTTGTGGTTTTCCCTGTACATTTCCTTTCTAGTGAACAAGAAAACTTGACTTATTGTCAGCTGCAACTGCTTTTTGCAATTATAGGGCATAGCGTACTGTCCCTGTGAGAAGTCATCATTTTCAGGGCTTAATCCAGGGCGATTTTGGTACCGTTTTTCGGTACCTTCACAAAATTAAAAAAAAAAATCGGTACTTTCACAAAAAAAATCAGTACTTCAACAAACTTTGAGAAAAAAAAACGCATCTTCACGAAAATAAAAAAGAAAGTTAGAAGGAATTTTAAAGTGCTGAATAGTTTTCCGAGCGGTTCACGGAAAAGTGGATTCACAGTGAACGCCGTATGGTACGCCATCGGATGGCGTTCCGCGCAACCGCACTAGCTCGAAAACAGGCTTGATATGCTGACGTCACTTCTCCTAAATACGCCATTCAATCGGAGTGAGTGGTGAAGTTTTTATACTAGGCAACCGGCTAAATTGAGCCAGCGCGTAAACAACTCAACTCATTTTCCCAGACAAGTGTTTTTGTTATGATTTAGCGTAAAACGTGTTCTATTCGTATTTTTTAACAAGATTTATGAAAAGTTTTTATAATGAAGCGAGGAAGAAATTTAAGTGGAGCGGGTGGCTCACGGAATAGCGATTATTATATGAAGCGTTTACACACGATCGATAGTATAGGAACGAAATCAATTAAAACATTTTTTCAGTCTGAAAAAACTGAGGAGAAACCGTCACAACAGTCACAGTTGATAACGAGGCACAGTGTATTAAAAATGCTACGGAACCAATGATTGAAGAGCAAAACAATTCAAGTTTTGTTACAGAAAAAAAATAGTTTTTTTTTTTTTAATCAATATTTAATTTTCACAAAAATAAAAAAAAATTTCACAAAAATAATTTTTTTCACAAAAATAGGTACTAGGATTGAAAACCTGGATTAAGCCCTGATTTTAGTGCAGTTGGGACCTTAATTTTGATTGAGACTTAGGCCACAGTTACATATGTTTGTTGGCTGCTGCCTAGAATCGAACCAGGTACCTTTCAGTCTACAGCTAGACATTCTATTTACCATAGAAAAGATTGTAAGTTGGGAATGTATGATTGTCAATGCATATTTTTATACGGAATATATTTTACTTAGAATATAATATGATTTTCAAATAAATTTAATAATGAATATCTAAGAGCAATTTAACAATAAAGAAAAACATCATTAATTAAAATTTTATTATTCTCTTCACTTCAAAAAAAAAAAAATTAAGAATACTGAGCGAGAAGAATTTTAATTATTCATATAAAATTTTATAAATACACACTTTTTTTAAAAAAAATATAGTTTTTTTTTTTTTTATCGCATCCCTGTCATTATACTTCACTTTTCAGGGTAGTATCATTGAGCTTGAAAACAGATAATCTCAATTTGAAATTTACTGTAAACGAAATTTTTTTTTTTTTTTTTTGGAACTCTGATTCAAAATCATTAACATTTCCAACTTTAGCCAGTTTTGAAAAGTCGAGATGCTATCATAACATTTAAATATCATCAATTATGGCAAAGGTTAACTTGCATTACTTATCTATATTTTAATTAAAAGTTAGGTAAAAGCATTTCTCTGTTTGACATGAATAGAGGAAATAAAAAAATAAGCAAGTTTTAATTAAGAGAAATCGAGTGAAACAATAAGCTTACATTATTAAAAATTATTGAATATTTTCAACTTTTTTCTTTTTCAAATTAATAATTGTACAGGGTACGTAGCCAAGTCTTTCAACAAAAATAAGCACATTTTAAGTACTTTTTAAGCACTCAAAAAATATTTTTAAGCACGATATACATTAAAAAACGCAAAATAATTTTCAAAGACTTTACAAGATGTTGATAAAATAATGTAAAACATATAAAATGATTGGCGCTTTCATACGCTATGGACAGATGGTACACCGAACTGGATTGTGGTTGGATGAATTGTAAAACCGTTGAATAGAACAATGTGAGAAGCACGTTTTTGCATAATACATGGGGAAAATGGACATGGTAAAGAATTAAAACATCATTTTCGAAAAGGGAAAATTAAGCACTTTTTAAAAACACCTAGTGAAAAAAGCACCTTTAAGGGCTTTTAAAAAACGAAAATAAGCACATTTAAGCACTTTTTGAAAACGCTACGCACCATGTTGTACAATAGAAATAACTTAATAATGAATACTTAATGTTGCAAATTACATGTAATTAATGCATAATTAATGTTATGAATACGTAAAGTAAATATTAAGAAATTTATAATTAAGTAAACTGAATTTTCAAAAAATTTCTCATTAAAATTTTCTTTACCCACTTTTCCTTTTCAAAACTTTTTTCTTTAAATTTCAATTTTATTCTTTGTTTTGAGGAAAGGTTGGCTACTTTTTTACACATCTAATAGATTTATCTCTATGTTTTTTAAAAAGAGAAACCCTGCTTCATAATTTAAATTATAACAATTATTTAAAATACAAAAATAATTATTTAAAATACATGATTAATTAAAATACACTTCAAGAATAAATAAGAGTATCAAAATCAAGAAAAAAGGATACGGATTACGAAACATTCTTTTCAAATCTACCTTTTCTTTACAGTAAGGACACGTCTGCTTCTTACCCACAATGCACCATCCTCTTATACAAAACTCGTGAAATCTTAACAAAAAATTAAGGAAAAAGAAAAACATATCATGCCTTTTCTTAACACAAAATAGAAAAATATTAAGCCTTATTTTTTTAACAATGCAATACAGTTAAATCCTAAATTATATAGATGTGAACTACACTGGCGAAATTTTTTTTTTTCTCCTGTTGCATGAGATCTTTTACTATATCCTAAATACTTTCATATCACTGATTTCAAATCTGCAATCGTTTCTTTCTCCAAGCTACAATTTTGTTAAATGATATCTTCAGTATTTTCTTTTTTCTTGTTTAAAAACTTTATATATAACAGGGAGTTGCATAAATGTTGCAAAAAACTTCTAAGGAAGTTAGGGCCACATCATTAGGTTTAAAACTGCTTTGAAACTTATACCCGGAAATGTTGTCATATGCGGTTGGGAGCGCTTCTTTATTATGAACTGTTTTTTCATTTGCTTCTGAACAGGTCACAATAGGGAAATGCCCCAGCCACATACGACAACATTTCTGAGCATGGGTTCCTATGCAGTTTTAATTCTAATTATGTACCATAACTTCCTAAAAAGTTTTCCCTACATTTATGTGACCCCCTGTTACATATAACGTTTTTAAACTTGAACATTTAAACAAAAATAGACTAAAATGGTCAATTTTAAAAATACCTGTATCTTTCAGAGCAAAACTAGCTTTAGAATTGAAATCCCCACATCCGAATTAGGTAAGATCAAGTATTTGTATAAATGCAACAAAAAATTTGTTCCTTAGTGTTACAATCGCAATATTTTTGCTAAGAACTAGCAAATTAATAACACATTTCTCAGAAACAAATAATTAAAATACAAAATATCTCATGAACAAAATCATAAAATACAAAATATCATACGCTTATATTGAGAAATAAGTATTTTGTATTCTTTAATGAGTATTTTGTCCATATTAGATTCTGTCTAAAAGAATTTTTATATGTCATCCATATAATTCTAATTTAATAACAAACAAATTTTCTTAATCAATACTTTTTAGCATGAATTTTTGTTTTGCAAAAACAAAAAAAACTAAAAAACTTTAATTACAAATTAGGAAAATGTGTTTTACAGCTATAAAACAAATGGGTGAATTTTTTTTTATTTTTATCATTTTACTTATTAAAGCTGTTTGTTGAAGATTCTGTTGTCATATGAAAAAATGCCTCTTAGCAAATAATATGTTATTTTAATAATTGTTGTGAGTCAGTTAAGCAGAATTGTTAAGTTATGTGCAATTTATAGCTATGCAGTGCTTTTTATGTTGATTGTAAATGTCAAAAAACTTCAGTTTTTTTAAAATAAAAAATGCTTGATCCAAATTTTTATTATGTAAAAATTAAAAAAATTGCTTCAACACTGAATTTTTTAGGTACATAAAAATAATCAAAAATTTAGAGTTATTTATTTATTTTAATCAATGCGTAAAATCTCCCCAGATAGGGATTTTTCTTTTCTTTAAAAAAAATTAATACCATATATCCCGGTGTATAAGTAGCCCCTATTTTTGATTACGCGACAGCAAACTTTTTGTAAGTCGGGTGTATAAGTTGACCGATGAAAGAACCCGATATGAAAATTTCTAAAATTGTAAGAAAAAATTATTAAGTCTGCAAAATTTTCGCAAATGAAAAATAATTCAAATTGTTCTTTTTGGATATATCTGTCCTTAAATAAAGACACATAACATTATTGAATGCAATACCGATGTTCTGGAATCTTTAAATTTGTAGCTTTATGGTATATTTATAGTTTTCATTGTTATATTTTTTGAATTACTCTTGAATAAATTATCTTATCTTCTCTTATTCTTTTTTTTTCTGAATGTAATTTAAAGTATAGTTTAAAAAAAACAAACTTATATAAAGAAAATGTGATGAAAGAAAATGCAAAATAAATAGTATATAACATATTAAAAATAGTTTTTGAAAGGGGTAAATCAATACAGAATCATTCATATCAATCTCATTGAATATAATGCATGCATATTTCACAATCAATGAATATCAGACTTATTAGCGAGCAATGCATAAATCAACCCCTTTATTCTACCAAAATTTTGGGGTTTGGAAAATATATACGGTAATAATTTTGAATATTTGTCATTAAGTGCAATAAATTCTTCTCAGTAAGGCAATACAAAGAAGATAAAATTAAAACTTTAATCTGTGTTTAAGGGCCCCTTATCAGACAGAAAGTATCCACTTCTTTTATGTTACAGTACGTAGAACCAAACAACTCAGTTCCAACATTTATAAAGTAACTAATTAATGTTTTTTAATGTCTTTTGTTAATTTTAATATTATAGGTTTTTTTAAAACTTAAGTTATAGAAATACCCTTGAACCTTAAAATTAAAACTTATCCACAATATTCAATAAAACATATTTTAATTAATAAAATAAATTAAAGAGTTCTTAAATAAAGATAGTTACTTTTGTCCAATTATCTACAGGCTAACATGGAAAAAGTATACCCTTTTCTATTAAGGCATTGAAAACTGTGGTTTCTTTATGCTTTGGTGAAAAATGAAATAATTTATTTGTTTTTGATTTAGTTGATTTACATGCCTTCTAAACTTTCACAATTTAATGGTAACACTACACAAATATCAAACTATATAAGAAAATAATAAGTAAATAAGAAATAAATAAAATGATAAAATGCATTCAAACTAAAATATCAAGTTTTTGGATTTTTTCTAAATAAGTGGTAATATTAAATGCATCAAAAAATGAATTGTGAGTTGCATTTGAAGTTAGTTCTACAACAAAAAATAAATGTAAAATAATTCATGCTTCAGAGACATTATGAAAAAGGATACGTATGACCACATGTGAGGGTGAATGTTTTCTCAACAATGGCATTGGAATTATCTTGGACTAGAATGATATTGGCGCAGACTGCACAAATATTTGACTCCAACTGCCTATCAGGTATTCCAGAAGTGGTATAATACTAAAAAGTAATGGAATGCATTATAACACACAAATAAATGAATTAAACATACATAACTCAAATTTTCATAAATCAATACAGAACCACGCAAGTCCAAAATGATTTGAACTGCTTTTAATTCAGAGTATTGAAAATCAAGATTATGCAAAATTTCAGTTGCAACTGATGTTTCATGCAATTTTTGTGGATATAATTAAATGCAAGGTTGTGTCTCCAAATCATATTATATCACAATCCATTTGGCTATCTATTTTTTCCTGCTTCAAAGAGATTTATGTACACAAACATTTTAGTTTTTGGGGCAAAATCCTTTCAAAGAAGGTAGCAAATCCTATTAGGTTATCATTTATAGATAGTATATTTATATACATTAGTTAGCATTATTACCATGATAAACAAATTACAAACACACATTCAATTGCAGCACAAATATGTTTATTTTATCATTGTATTTTGCTTGGTTCAAATCTTAATCAAATCTTCTAAGTGGTTGTTTTTATATAGCTAGTTAATAAACATTTCTAGATTCTATACATTCATAATTTTTGAGGAGCAATATCAGTTCGTATTAACAAGCATTTTGGATTATCAGAATCCTACTCTAACTTTAAAATCCTGGCCTAAACTTCAAAAGCTTTTTCCTACGTTCTTTAATGGCTTTAGCAACTAAAAATATTTTTAAAACTATATTTGTTAAAATTTTATAAAGTATTCACATTTCTCATTAAATTGTGAAAAATTTTTAGCTTTGCTAATACTAAAATTTCTGTTTACATTTGACTTATTGTTAAGAATTGGTTTTAAATTAACCATTAAACATGAAAAATGTATAATTAATATCAAATACATTAAACATTAATTGAGTAAATTTAAAACAAAGTCAAATGACATAAGAACTTATTATTTATAAAAACATAATACCCCAATGCTAGCAGCCATCTTATCTGTTATTATCTCTGATATATCTCGACCAAGGACTCCATAATATAGGCCATAGAAAATACAGATAAGCCCACAGTCCATCCATACTTGTGGTAATGTATTAAACAAAAGATTAACTCCAAGAAGTGTTAAAAATACAACTATGTAACCGAAGACGCCAAGAGCATAACTAATCATGTAGATAAGATAAAACCATTTGTAAACTAACCTGAAATAAATAAACAAACTCAGAATATGCATTTTTATGAAAATGAAGACATCGCTTAAAAGAAAAAATGAATTAGAATTATCTGATTAAATTTGGCAATCAATATTGCTCTAGAAAGAATAATTGAGCTGAATGCTAAGATTAATGGCACAAGAGTCAGGTGTGGCTATACTGCTTCAAAATCAAGAAAAACTTATTATATTATAATAGAAAAACTATTACTGATTTATTTTTGTTAAATTTTTCTTAGTTTCTCAATTTTTCTTTTTTATGTGCTCTTGATTCATTTCTATAGAAATCAGACTTTACATTTTTCTGGGACAACAATAAATAATTTTCTTCAAGATAGGGGCTCTTATATAAAGTTAGAGAGGCCAATAATAAGATTTAACTTATGTTTTAAAAATATGATAGGCATAAATTGATATCCATTTAAAAGTCAATCCACTACGTCTGTTAATATCATCAGTTCACGTGATAAAAAAGGAGTTAGCAAACAATTGAAACAGGTTTTACTATTGAAATTAACTCATTTGTAAATCAACTAAGCTTTTAATAAATTAAATTGAAATCCTTTGCAAATCGAATTTAACGTTTTATAATTAAATCTGCAAATATAAAAGGTTCAACTTGATTTGAAATGAAAAAGTATATATACAGTGAAAGAGTTTTATAAAATGACAAATTAGAATATAGAAAGATTTTAACTACAATAGGATGGTGAAAGAAAAATTGATAAATTGAAAGAAAAAATTTCATAAAAATGAAAAATCAGCAATTGCAAAATCCAAAAACAAAATGTATTATTATTTTAAATGATACATCCAGTATCATTTAAAATAATAATAAATTTGACTATCAAAATTTAGAAAAAAGATTTTAATAAAATTAGGCACAATGAACACAAAACACATGATATGGAATAAAAAATATTCAAATAAAATAATGCCAGATTTTACCTAGGTGTCATATTATTAATGGGTTTTCTAAGTCCTCTACTGATAATAAAACAAGTTAGAATAGTAAAAATAACCCATATATAGATAAAGCGCATCCAGGCATGATTCACAGATATTGCAAAGGGAATAATCCACATGGCTACCAAAGATATTCTCTGAAAGAACAATTAAAAAAGTCAGAAAAACAACAGTCTAAGAATAACTCCATATATTTTAACAACAGTGTAAATTCTAGGACCAGTAAAATTAGACTAATTTCTTGGGAATAATTAATACCCAAGAGATTTTTGGCAAAAAAAAAAAACTTTGTTGTGTTATTGTAAATGATGCATAAAAACGGTGCTTCTCTCCTTTACACACTTGTCCCTCGTTAGAGATACATGGGAGTGATTTGAGGGAATAAAATAAATTTCTTCTAGACAAGCAAGCGAAACATACATTCATATTAATTTTTTTTACGCTGAATTGAATGAGATCAATCTCAAGATGATCATATTTATACTTTAAAAGTTATAAGTGTTACATGTACAAAAAGTAGAAATTTGTACTTGTACCTACTTACTCATCAGGTATTGCTACCTAAACAAGTAAGACATTGCTTCTATAAATTTTTTTAATGTTGAATCGATTGAGACTATACATAACAGTTGGGCTGAAAAGTTCGTAGGCAAACATTGAATAAATTTTTTTTTTATAAGATTTTATTTTATTAATCAATATAGTTGCCTTCAAGGGCAGTTTTAGCAGTCATATAATTTTTCGATACCATTTTTATAGTATGATTTGTCTTTCGCCTCAAAATAGGCCTTAGTTTCGGCAATTACTTCTTCATTGCTCCAATAACGCTATGTAATAGTCGCTGTTGATGGTTTTTCCCTTTTCAAGATAGTCGATGAATATTATACCACGCGCATCCCAAAATACTGATGCCATAACTTTGCCAGCTGACTGCTGCGTCTTTCCACGCTTTGGAGTTGGTTCATCTTGTGCAGTCCACTTGGCTGACTGTCGATTGGACTCTGTTGTGAAATGATGGAGCCATGTTTCATCCATTGTCACATATCGATACATAAATTTGGGTTTATTACGATTAAACAGTTTCAAACACAGCTCAGAATCATCAATTCGTTGCTTTTTTTTTGGTCGATTGTGAGCTTGCGTGGCACCCACTTTGCATGGAGCTTTCGCATACCCAAATATTCATTCACAATATGTCCAACACGTTCCTTTGATAACTTTAGAGTTTCAGATATCCCTATCAACATCACTTTACGGTTATCTAAAATTATTTTGTGTACTTTTTTTATGTTTTCAACGGTAACAGCCTCTTTGGGGCGTACAGAGCGTGCATCGTTGTCGGTGCTCATTTCGCCTCGTTTAAACTTAGCAAACCACTTCTCAACTGTTGATTTTCCTGGGGCAGAGTCCAAATAATGTTTATCAAGCCAAGTCTTGTCTTCAGCAATATTTTTTTGTTGCTAAAAAAGCAATGCTTTATTAACACACGAAATTCCTTTTTATCCATTGTTTTTAAACTAACAGAAGTTGCTTCACATACTATATCTCACAAACTAATAGTCCGACAGCTGTCAAATTTATACACGTGTCTTTCGAAAGTTAAAACTAACTAAAAAATCTATGGATTTAAAAATAGTAGCGCCATCTACAATCTTTTCAGCCCACCTGTTAACTAAATAGAACAAATAGTCCATAAGTTGCAAGAGTTATTATAAAAAGTATTACTTTTGACACATTTTCATGCATAGGCTTTACATTTCTATTCAAGAACAATCTGAAAACATAAGGTAATTTTTACGATGAATGGGATAATTACTTCTCGCTATTAATGGAATTTTTCAAGTTGAATTGGATGAGACCAAACTTGGGGCAATCGTACTAATAATTTAGAAGTTAAACAGGGTTTTGTTCATAAAAGTGCAATTAAAAAAAAAAACACTTTTTATTACAATATTAGTTATTTTTCACATTTTGTTTTATTCGATTAAATGAACAAATTAAACAGGAAACAATACCTCAATTGTCTATATAACAATGTAAGATGCACAAATAAGTGCAAGTACAAAACTGTACTTTTGTATACAAAACATTCATAACTTCCGAGGTATTAGCTTGATTGTCTCGAGATAGGTCTCACTCAATTCTGTGTGAAAAAATACAATGGAAAATATGCCCTACTAGACTGTCTAGAAAAAATTCAATTCACCTTCTCAAATGATCCTAATTTTCTATTAAAAAAAGGGGGAGGGGAGCCGTGATGGCTCATGGGATAGAGCGCTCGCCCCCAATGAGGCAAACCGGGCTCGAATCCCAGCAATTGCTGGTCGATACAAATTCCGCATCCGGCTTACACCGACCACAGTGCTGATGCAAAATATCCTCAGTAATAGACGGATTATGGGTTACAGTCCCCTTGCCATCATGCTAATCGTGAGAGGTTTAGTTGGCTTTCCTCTCCATGCAATGTAAATGCAAGATTATTCCATCAAGAAGTCCACCACAACGTTTAAAGTTTGTCTCAATGCTTGATCCACAAGTTCCTTTGTCTTCTGGATTGGAGGGCAGTGGAAAAGGAAGCCTGCAGAGGAGAGTAGGTTAGATTTTATATATTATTTATAATAACAAAACAAAACCCTTTCTCAAAAAATATCTCTTATACTTCCATAAAAAGTCCTCTGAAATTTAAGAAGGTTAGCCATCCATAGATAAATTATAGCCTTATAAAATATTATAGAAGAAAAATACATAAAATAGTTGTTTGCGCATATTTATTGAAAATATTCAATGCTCACATTATATGATCGAGGAAATCTCTTTCGCCATTCCACCAGCAGTATCTGTGATAAAATCATGGCAAGAAGTAAGATGAGAACCATCCAGGCATGCATAGATTCATGGCCTCTGTGTTTTAAATGCAGCTGCTCGTGCAAATACCTTAAAATACATTTCAACTTAACATCCTTTTCACAAATCAGTTTATAAATAAAAAGTATTATTAAGTGATCATTAGACAATAATTCAGCTACAGATGAAGAAAATAAAAGGTTAGTTAAAACAAATAATTCAATCACAAATAAGGAAAATATTAAAGATCAATAGTCCTGAAAATGATTTAGTTACAAATTAAAAGTATAATTCAACTAAATAAAATTTATTTATATGTTAATTATAAAATAGAAATGAGTCATTATAGTACCATTCCCACTCTCTGAAAGAGATGCAAAACAAAAGTTATATTAACATAAGCATCAAGTAGATATATATACATGTTTAACAATAATGTAGTGAGGAAATTTATGCGATTTCTCGAAAAATATATAGATATATTTTGTGAGTTTATGTAAAGTGGTACAAAAAAACTATCATAACTGCAGACATAGTTAAAAAGAAGGATCATATGAAATAGGTTTTTTTTAAATTTTATTTTTTATAACAATATTTAATATTAAACTTAAGTATCATTAAGACAAAGGATTTAAACAACTTCAGAAGCTATTTATACTTATATAAAAAAAACCTCTGCATAAAGATTTAAACATAAAAAATTCTTTGAATAGTAAAATTGACATGCCTATTTTATGTACTGATTTTTAGATAAACATTTTATTTTTAAAACTAATGAAGAATCAGAAACATTGAGATAAAGTAAAATCACACATTATGCACAATTATAAACAATTTATGAGCTATCATTAAAACATATTTTGTTAACTATTATTTTTATAAAGGAGAAACTTTTATCACACACACACATATATATATACAAATAATTTTTTTTTTTTTTTTTTTNTTTTTGTTGAAATTTTTGGTAAAGATAGAGACATGCACAAGGTACATTTTTATGAAAATACATATAAAAAAACAAAAGGAAAAATTGGCATCAGTGATAAACGTTTTAGTTTAACACTGCATTTCAGAAATTTTTAAGGAAATTATAAAATTTTCTGACATTTGGAAAAAAATTAAGAACCCTTGCAATCAATAAATAAACCTTTACTTTCATTATATGATTTAAATTAATCAATAAATACTCAGAAATAACTTACAATAGAGCTCTAGAAACCAATGTAATAAATAGCTTGAAAACAATATTATCAAAATTTAAGATCAAATTAACATTTTAAAGTTCAATATATTATTACCTTGTTTTTTCTTCTGAGGTCATACTGCTGAGGTCAACAGTCTAAAAAAGAAATTTTATTATTATCTAATATACAAAAACTGTTTTCGAAAATAATTGAAAATTAATTTATTATTGAAAATTAAATGAAGAATAAGGTTAAAAGCTAACAATCAATGAATAGAAATTTAAAATTGTTAAACAAAGACAATAAATAAAATTAACAAAATATGAAATCCAAGCCTTTCAGACACAGTAAGTTAGAAAAGGTTGTATTTTTAATCACAGCTGATTTTTATTTAATTAGTAAAGAAGTGTACCGTTAATCAAAATTAGTACTAAATCTGGTTCTCGCAGTTAGTGCCCTACACAATTAATAAAATTTAGTTACTGTCCTTTGGCCTACATATTCAATCAAGAACTCTATAATGTTTACTTTACACTGTAAATATGTGTGTTATAACATAATCACAACTTCACTTTAAGTTTGACCTCTCAAAAATTTATTGAGTGAAATTACACTCTAAAAAAAAATAATTTTGGGGCAACACTGTTTTAAATGTTATATACTTCAGTCTGTTTTGCTTAAAAATTACTCAGTTAAAAGCATTGAAAATATCCCTTTTCTAATTACAAAAAAAAAAAAAAAAAAAAAAAAAGACAGCAAACCTATGAATTATTAGTTTAATTATTTTTCTAATGATATTATTTTAACAACATTAAAATTTAATTTCAGAAATTTTTTTACACAGTGTAAAAACATTTAAAAAGTTTAGGTATCAGAATCAAAGAACTTATTGAAAACAATTATGTCCATAAATGAAATGTTTCAAAGTATTTAATTAAAAGTGGATCATTTTCATAGATACACTTGTGAAATGAGAATGAAGATAAAATTCATTTCACTTGCAAAAAAAAAAAAAGAAAAAAAAAGATAGAGGCTATTTACTAATAAAATTAAAACAAATTAATATCATAGGCAAAAAGCAGTTAATTAAATATTGGTGAGAATAAATAGTTAATTAAATATTGGTGACAATTAAAAATGTGTGGCCATAACTATTTAATTTAATATTGGTAACAACTATTATGTAAAATTAGATAAAAATTTACTAAATGAAAATTGGTATTTTTTTTTCAAAGTTTATCTGATAACCTAAAATTTTAAAATAATTATCCTTGTAAAAGAATAATTCGAACATTTTATTTCCAAAATGGATCAGTTTTACAAACATACTCCACCTATATTTTAAATATTCACTCTTAAACGAGAAAGAACTAAAAATTTTGAAACCATCAGAAATTTCATTAAGTTCACCATTTTTTGTCATTAAATAAAATTTTTCACAAACCGAGTAACAAAATGCGAGATAAAAAAAATAAATAAAAAAAATCTATTTTACAAACTAAAATCAAATTATACAATCTAAGGAAAGTTAGTGCAATTGTTGGGACTTTCTCAACTTTTCCGCCATAATTCACATTATTATACATTTCATCATAGTAATCATGCATAAATAAGGATAGTTAGAAGCAGGTAAAAAGTGTTTTTAATTCGAGAAATCAGAGATAACATCAGATGAAAGAGAAACCAAGGAAGCTTAGATTAAGTTCTGTATGTATTTTAAATTGGAAGAAATTATGCACCAAACATTCACGTTATGATATTTTAAATAGACTTAATAAGTTATAATTGACATTTCATAACTATATATTAGAATTTTTACTTTATTTAGCCGACGAAGACTTTTTTCTATGTGCTCATCCATGTTTTCGAGCGAGCAAAAACAGTGCGAATCTTCACCGCGGATTCTTCTGCTTTAATTGAAGAAACCGGCTTATTTCCCATATGATACGCTCACAGGATAGTTTTCAGTTTATTCATTTATTCTATATAAAAAATTTCAACTGTTGGAACTGAGGCGTATTCAAAGACCTTTACACGTACTGAAACTCATTAAACTGATAAAATGCAATAAACTATATAATTGAAATTATATCTACTGGTGAGAATTAAAATTTCTCTTTCATGTAAATTAGTTTGATCTTATGAATGATTATTTTTGAATTATAATAAGGTGAGAATCTAAAAATTGAAAACAAACTTTTTTTTTCTAAAATAAAAAATAATCAAAATGGAAACAAACATGTGGCAATGCACGTTGCTGTGATGTGGTTTTCGTTCTTTAGCGGTCTGCTCCGAGTTTCTGAAAGATGGATGTAAACAAAGTATATCTGTCACAAAATATCAAAAAGGTAACAGAGCCATCATTGTGTAAATGAAAGCTTAATATTTCTCCTTTTCTACAAGACCAATTATTGGTTTAATAGAAACTAGTTTGCTGTATTGTAATCGGATATAAGAAAAACAAAGCTAAATCGTTAAATACATACATATTTATTATTTTATTAATTATTTTATTACATTTTATTAATTATTTTGCTATATATTGACAAACATTTGATTACGTTTATTTCTTACAATATTTTATAATGATATATTCACTGTCATTTTTACTTCCTTGTAATTAATAAAATATATTCGTTTTAAAATTAATTTTGGTTATTCATGTAGTGAATTACAAGATTACGTTTAAAGAATAATTAATTTTCATTCTCGTTATTGTTTACTTACATACTAACTTTGTCTTACTCCTAAAATAAATTTTAAAAATTGGAATATTGCCATTGAAATACTATTGATGTCAAATTTTTGTTATCGCTTGGGCAAAAACTAGGTACATTTAATTATAATAATCCCTCAGCAGTAACTTACTTTCCAATTGGGTGCCTCTCTACTTTTTAGTGATTTTTTTTATACTCTTAAATTGGCTCCAAAAAAGTAATATTTTTAGTTATAGTTTTTTTTATATCTTTTCAAACGAACTAAAACACATTAAAACATTTAACATTGATGTTAATTTATCAAACTAAATTGTAATTTTGCTTTCAAATTTCATAAACACAGTACGATTTTAGGATAGTTTAAAGAAATATGTTAACAATCCAAGGTGCTACACTTTAATTGATTGCAGTTTAAAATGCCATGTAAACTGATAGAAACCTATTTGAAAATCATATATATACATCAAAAATTCATGTAAATAATTTCTTGTTAAATTACTTTCTTTTGTAAGATGAAGGTGGCTGGAACCACAATTTAAAGCAAATACACTAAAAAAATAATAATAAAAGACTAGATATTAATCCTTATAAACAACCGAAAATGTAATCTTTAACTAAATTATTTCATTTTTATTTAGTAATCTGTTAGCAGTTAAGCATTTTACTGTAAAAATATGTTCACAATTAAATATTCAATGGAAATATTAGTATAACATGTTTTTTTACTATCATAATTTATTTATCATAGATAATAGATGTTTATTTTTTTTCTTTCTATTATTCATCTATAGTAGTTTTGCAGTTCATTTTTTACTTGACTTTACTTAAAAAAGTTCATTAGGTTTATGAGCTAAATTTAGTTTTAAAAAGATTTATTGATGAAAAAGGCTTTTATAGAAACATGTTACTTTTGGTAGACTTATTCTAATGTTTGTGTACCATAAGCCTAGTATTTTTAATGCTATTTACATATTTTTAAAGTTCTTTCTCCATATGTTATTGCTCATGTGAGAGTCATATAGTTAGCAAAAACAGGTAGATGTTATAATATGCTAAAAACTCAATGTAACAGGTAGGTACAACATGTTATAAGAATTTAGTGTTTATGACAAATTTTCAAGTCACCATTAATATTTTAAGGTAAAAGATACAAAAATTGTAACCTAATAATAAATTAAAAATTCCTTTCATTGTTGCCAATTATTTGGTAGGAAAAGCATTTTTCTGTTGTTAAAATCAGAAAGATTATACTTAAAAAAAAGTGAAATGGAAAACATTATAATTTTTACTAGTTATCAATACTGTAAAATTAATATTATTTTCCTCTTACATTCTTAAGTTTTTATATTTATAAAGCAAATATGTGGGGGTGACCACTGGCCAACATACCTTTCTCCGTACAAAAGGAAAAATCTTTCACTGTTTTTAAAAATCCTTCTTCAAAAAATTGTGCCATTATTTTTATCCCATCTTCCATTGAAAATTGTATTTAATATGGATATTTACTGCATTTAAATGTTTTCATAATATAATTCATAAAATTTTATACTTTGTCTATTGTATCAAATCTTAATTTTAAGAAATAACTGTAAGTTATAATTGTTGAATTTATAGGTTTTATCCAAAACTGAAGAAAAAGCTGGTTATGTAGCTGGTTGGAGTTTGGACTCGGCAAAGATTTGTGCTGCTGTAGCTGGGTGTAGAGAGTATTTTTTAACAGGTCTGGAAGTAAATGGCATTTTTTGCATCCTGCATAGTATCCTGCCATCAGAAAATGAATTAATTGATATATGTGAGAAGCAGTGTGAAAAACTTGAAGTAATTTACTACTATCATTGAAATATTAAAAAATTTATCTCACATTATTTTTATTAATGTTTATACTTTTATACTGTTTAATTTTGATTTCATTCATAAATGTTTTCATTTGTATCTTCATACTGTTTAATATTTAAATTATGAACAGCAATTATGAATAATGATTATAAATTCTAAATGAACAGACAATGAGACATACTTAAATTTAGTATGTCTGCAATATCCATAATTTGGAATTAGTGGCTTTGTAAATTTTATTGTTTTGCGTATTTCAGGTCCTTTATTTATGTACATTTTTATGGTGCATTTATAAATTTATATTGAAATGCATTTTGGTGATTTTCCCAAAATATTTGCTTTTGCTTAAGCAATTTGGAAAAATTCATCTCTTTTTTAACTGAATGTTTATAATTTTTACTTTAAGACTTAAGTATACAAATCAATGATTAGCAATGAAAAAATTAAAACTAAAAATTTAGTGTCAGTGTTATATCATGGAAAAATTTAATTATTGGCCGTCACTAGACAGTTTAAAAATAACACAAATTTTTTTTTCTATTAATCAATATTTATTCAGTAAATATAGGAAAGTAATTAAAATACTATTTAGTTGAAAATTTAATTAATTTTTTTAAAATACTCAAAGTTTTTTTAAATAAAAACTTACAAAAAAATTCAAAATTACAAAATTCAAATACTTATAATGTTAAAATTATAACTTGACACAAATGTGCCAACATTCTAAATTATTCTATTCTTGATAAGAGTAAAAAAAAAAAAAAAAGAAAGACAAAAAGCCATTAAAATTTTGAAAAATAAATTAAATAAAAATACAGTTAAAATGTGATTTTTTTTCCTCCAGCAATTCAGTTTTGGACAAAGTTAACATTTTAGTTGTAAATAACTTTACAAAGTTACAAAGTTACATACTTTACAAAGTTAACATTTTGAGTTGTAAATAAAAACTATAGTTGGAACATAAATATATTTATAACTATCTGAACATTTGTCACTAGATTATTTTAACTTTTTTTTCAGCAATATTAATAATAGTTATAAATTTGTTCTTAAGTTTTGAAATTTAATATTCTTATGTTTACAAATAATATTTTTACTGTCATGTAATTAATTTCTTGTAAATTCTGACAACAAAAAAAAGAAACCAACTGCATAATAACATAGTTAAGTGAATCAAATAAGTTTTTCAAAACATAAAAAATTTGTAGGCCCTTTGGCAATAACTGTCCCCTTTAATTACATTTTGGATAGGTAATTATACAAAATAATAGCTTTGTCCAAATAGATTTAAAACTACTATTTCATTTCTTTAATTAACTATCTATATTTTACAAAAGTAAGTTATTAGATTTTATACAAATCAAAAATGTTTTGCTTGTTTGCAATTTCTTAGATGAAAATTAAGGGGATAGTGATTACAATCAATAAAGTCACCCAAGGATTTATTAAGCTTATTGACCCAAAAAGAAAAGGTGCTGCAATTAAACTTTACTGCTCTGTGTCTGTAGTGAAGAGTGTTCATTGTAATCTGGAAGTTCTATTTTATTCAACTGGAGTCATCTCTAGTGCTTTATTGTGACTTTTTGTACTTGCGACAGTAATTGCATGAATGTAGAGGATGCGTGTAAAGTGATGTGCAGAACAAAATTTACAAAATGTTCTGAGAATATTGATAATAAATATTTAAGTAGACAGCAATACTATACATAAATTTGGAAATTTCGTGATATTGGACTTTTCCAAATATTCCAGTATTGAATATTTTTTAAATTTATCATATTGTAATAAATTTATAAATTACTGTAATATTTAGTAACTTATAATGTTCATTAAACAAACAATGAGTTCTGTTTAAATTATAATAAGTTTGAAAAGAATTTTTGATAGTTTAGGGAAATTATGTTTTAGAAGAAAATATACTGAATGAAAAAAATACATGCAGTTAGGATATTATCTAATTAAAAATTTATGGATTTTTTGCATATTTTTATGTAGTTTTATTATTTTTTGGAAATTAATATAGAGGGAAACTAATTTATTATGCTAAGAAATCACTTTGTTTAAATTGAGAAAAGTCATTCATACGAAATGCTCAGGGGAGTGTAAAACCCATAACAGATAATTCTAAATATACAAGTTGCTGCAGTATTAGTTGAGTCATGCTATCATTTAAAGCTATTAAGTTTCTGTTTCAATAAAAAAAATTTTAACTCTACATCTTGAATAATATTTTTATTAATATAATTTTAGTATTATTGATAGATGTTGAGAAAGACATGTTATTTTCAATTTAATATACATTCACGAAATTTTTATTTTATGAACGATCAAGTTTATTTTTATTTAAATAATTTTTTAAGCAGCTAATTTTTATTTATTTTTTTAGATTGGAATAGAAAATCTTATAGTTATTTTTGGTGTCAAAGATGAACAGAAAGAATTAGAAATTACTGTGAAATATTATTCTACTTACTGTAGTACTTTAAAGGATATAGATGTCGAAAGCTGTGATCCTACTAGTGCTTTGTTATTAAGAGCTCGTGGAATTATTCCTTGTTACTTTGAAGTTTCATCTGATGAAGGTAATTTCAGCAAAATAAGTTTGGTTGTTATTAAGAACATTTTATATCATTTAAATGGCATTTTCATATCTAATTATTTTATGGAATTCTATTTTATTTTAAAGTTTAATTTAATGAAGCTATAATTCAACAAAATTATCAAGTGTCTTGATTCATGGAGTAATGTTTAAATTTTTAAATCAATTTAAAGTCATGTTTTTTTTATAAATGTTATTATTTAATTTATTTACACGTGAAAATATTTCATAACATTTTTATATCCTGTTATATTTTTTCCTAACATTTAATTGATGTAATAATTTTTGCAGATATTAAGTATTTATGAGGAAATTTTGGTGATTGAAGTAGTTTAATGTAGGTAGTATTAATACAATATTTATCATAAAGATGATGATTATTTGTTGAAGAAAAATTGGTTGTTCTAGGGAAATAGTGCTTGAGGAAATTTTTTAATAAAGTTTAGCAATCGTTGAAGAAAATAAATATCATTCAATTGTCCAATTATTTTATTGCCCACAGTGATGGAGTTTACTAATATAGACAAGCATCAAGTTTGATAAATACTAAAAAAGTTTTATTTTTGAAAATATGGAGTTCAGAAGTAAAGGGGAATCAACATTTATTATGTATTTTTTTTTGTACATATTGAATATAGTAAATTTTGAAAATGGCCCAGAGGTTGTGGCTGCAGTGGCAAACTCCATGTGGTATCTCTGTTCATGCAGAAATCAAGAATGCGAGTGTCATGTTTGCGTTAGAATAGTTTTTGCCTTGGAAAGTTAAGGATTTCGTGTATTGGCTCTTAATTGATTTATTTTATTGCCAAGGCTCCTTTTATTAGCCTCACATATTCAAATGTGTTGGCAGAAAAGAAAGTGTAAGTAATAATCACAAGTTTTAATGAATTTAAAACATTACCAACCATATAACGGTTTTTGAATTTTATGCTACTGTATTAGGCAGGTGTGGAGGGAATCTCTAAAAATAAATTTTAGCTTGCACTCAATTCAAGGTGTGATATTAAAAGATTACCAATTATATTAATGATTTTTATTATTTTGAGAATAGGATTAAATAAGATAATGATTTTGAATTTAAACATTTGGAAATATGTGATGCATATTTCAGCATGACAATTTATGTGTCTTATTATTTTTGGGAATAACTTTTGTTGGAATTTATGCCTGATTTCAGTTATTTCTTGAGTGATTACAAAGAGTTTTGAATTTAAAAAAATGGTAATAATTGAATGTAAAAAAAGAAGAAAAAAAATTAATTCTTTTTGCCTTTGATGTTGCTCAAGAGCAGATAATTTTCAAAAATTTCAGTGAAACTATGTTCTTTTTTTTGTTATTTCTCTTCGTTTAATTTCTGAATCTGCTCTGCAACAAATTGCTGCTACTACCAATTTGAATGAATTAATTTCTTTTTAAAAGTTGTCAGTATCTATGTTATTGCAGCAATTTTTTTTCCATTTGAATTTCAATTCTGCTAAAATGAAATTATTGTTCTCAATAAAATATGTCAATATTGATACGTCCGAATTTATTATTTAAACTATTCTAGTCTAAGCAAAAATTCCTGTTCCAATTCCTTGACCGCTCAACTTGGTGGTGTAAACTGGGTATATGTTCAAAAACCATCACTTTTCTCCTTTTTCATTGTGATTAAAAAAATTTCATATTTTTACAGACATTTATTTGGTTTGCAGCAAGCATTTTTGTTTCTGTTTTTGAAACTGGTAAAAAATTCATTTTGTTTCAAACAACGTTATGAACAAGTTAATTTAAGCTCTTGATCAATTTTATTCTAACATCATTAAAAACTGACAAAAACTATTAATTTTAATTCAAACTGGTAGAGGGACATCTGGAGAACTGATCTGCATAAAAATTGAAGAATAAATTTCATTATTCTATTTATTATGAATAGTTTTCTGAGGTGGGGAAAGTGGGTATATGGTTAGGCTTAACTAAGTGTTGTATGATAGGGATATTTTTTTTAAAATTTATTTCTGTGTTAGTTTTAGTAAGTATCTAATGCTCTATATTTTATAATGAAATGGATAAAAAATAATTTATTTGTTTGATTACAGCCTAACATAGTAATTTTAACTCTGAAAACAAAATTAATTTTAATTTTTAAAGAAAATAATGATATGCTTTATATTTAATCTATAGGACCCAATATATATAAAATGAATCAAAATTTTCCGTAAAATAAATTTAATGGTTTGATTTTAGGGATATTTTTTTTAAATTTATTTTTTTGTTAATAGTAAGTATCTAATGCTGTTATATTTTAAAATGAAATGGCTAAAGAATAATTTATTTGTTTGATTACAGCATAACATAGTAATTTCAACTCTGAAAACAAAATTTCTTTTAAATTTTATTTTTTAAAGAAAAGAATGATATGCTTTGTATTTAATCTATATGAGTCCAATGCATAAAAATTTCCAGGAAAATAAATTTAATGGTTTGATTTTAGAGCCTTCTTTTAAAAAAACTTGATTTTATACCCACTTATCCCACCTGACCATATGCTTTTAAGATTTGATTCTGCAATTTAGGAAATTTGTTGTATTAGAAATTTTGTGTAATTTTTTGTGTGTACACTAAATGTAATTTTGGCATCAAAACATTTCAATAACTGTATTAAATTAAATATTCTACGTCAAACTGAGTTAATTGTTCTAGACTTAATCAACTTCACTATTCTAGATCTGCTGAGAGAGAGTATTGATCAAGCCCTAGAAAGAGTGAAATCAGTTTTCCAAAAGGAGGTTGCAGCTTTTTTCTTACAGAATGGAGAAATTATTCGATCTAGTTCAACAGATCAAACTTCAGATGATGGCCTAACCATAAAAAAACTATTGAAATCAGTTCAGGAGGATGATACTTCCGGAAAATCAAAAATCAAGAAAGCCTCGAAAAAAAAGGTTGAGTTTTGTTTTGTGAAATTTCTGTTATTTTTTTTTATATGACTAATTTGTATTAGAAATGAAAATCGAACTTCAGATAATGGTCTAACCGTAAAAAAGAATATTGAAATCAGTTCAGGTGGATGATACTTTTAGAAAATCACAAATTTAGATAGCTGCGAAAAAGAAAAGTTGAGTTTTATTGTGTAAAATTTCTATATTTTTTAAAATATATATGAATATATATGACTGACTTATTTTTTTTATTATTTATTTCCACTTCAGTAAGCAAAGAAATTTCTAAAAATGAAATTTACTCAAATTTTTTAAAAGTTTGCATTTTTTGATCTTTATTGTATTGAATATCTTTCCTACGCGACTCAGGTTTTTTTAATTCTTCATAAAAATTTTTTTTAAAATAATGTCTAAGAAAATACTGTTTAAGTCAATGCTTGCATCAGTCAATGCAACATTAAGTCAATACTTGCAATTTCTATAATATACTGCTAAATCAGAATATCCACATGGCGTGTCGCAAAATATATAAAAGCCTTGTCGGTCAATATAATTAATGAATCCTTTCATGCCTTGGTTATAAAGATAAATTTTTTTACTTGATATATATAATTAACAATATTAAAATGTGGAACATACAAAAATGCAAAAGATAAATGCTATGGCATAAAAAAAGAAAAGTTAAAACTAGAAAGGTAGACCTGCTAGAATATAGTAATTTGTTCTAAGAAAAATATGTCAATAAAATGTAGACAAAACACATTTATTATTTTTTGTTAAACAATTTAATTAAATGCTTTCAAATATTTACAGTAGTTGTTGTATTGAAAAAAAAAAAAAACAAAGAAAAAACTTATATCCATCCATTTTGAGTTACTCAAGAAATTTTTTATTTATTTTTACATCCCATTTTGACTTAGAATTTTAAAAAGAAGCTGACTGTATCACTTTAAACAGTTGTAGTTATTTGTATTCATATGTAAGTTGTACAAAAAGTAAATTTTAAACTTGTTTTAATTGAGAAAAATTAAAAAACATTACTTTTGTTCAGAAAATAGTAACTTATTAAAACGGTTTTTCAGTATTTATAAAAAAATTTTTTAATAAAATATAAGTAATAAAAAATGGATTTAATTGATTCTTCATTAAAATTATGTATCACACGAAAAAATAAGAAACGAGTCTAAATTTCTCTAAAGTTGGATGTGGAACTTGCATTTAGTATTGTGAATGAAGTAAATTTTGTATTTTTTAATAAAAATATGATTATATTTGCTTTTATTATTTTTTTTAATAAATTTGTTGATGATTTTTTCTTTAGCTTCCAACTGAGTTTAATATCTTAATTCAAGCTGGTGGAGATGGTATAGCGAATACTTTTAATCACTCTGTTGTCATTCATTGTCAACAGCGTAAGTTGAAAAGTTTTATTATTTTGTATCTACATAGTAATTTTAAAGTCATTTAGCAGTGTTTATATTTAATTAATTATTTATCAAATGGTAAATTTAATAAAAGTATTATATCTACATCCAAAAAAAAGGGAAATTGACTTCATTATATACAATTATTTATCTTAATATTATTGTTTTGATTTAAAAATTGAAAAATGTCATGAAATATGTAATGAACAGAATAATTAATTAATATTGCACCTTGAATTCTTCGAAATGAGTAATTTGTAAGTTTTGAATCACTTAGTATCAAAGGTTACTTTAAATAAATAGTAAGCATTATTAAAACTTTTTAGTGCTTTTTTTTAAATTTTTTTTATTTTACAGTGAAAGTGAAATGTGTAATTATTTTCCTTTTCCAGTATTTAGTAAAGTTTAGAGATATTTTAAGCTATATTTCTCTATATGAGATAAAATTTGTAATACAATATTAGAAACAACTATGGATCCAAAATGTTCTGCAATTGTTTTTAAAGTAACACTGGTCTGTCTGAATATTGCTTGAAATTGAATTGTCTGAAAGTTTGATACTGCACAGATCATGACTTATTACCTTTTTTAATGTTATAGATATTTATATTTAAATTAATTTGTTTGGAAATAAGAAAATTGAAAATAAATTAAAGAAATATATTGTTGATTTCTGCAAAGAATCATTTATTTAAGCAGTTAATAGACTAAGTGCAAGAAATATATTTTTACTTGTTGAAAAAAATTATGACATCAGCTTTTGAAAAATAATAAAAATGTCTGATTTTCACAACAGATTTCTTGTGCATGTTCAGTCCCTGTAGTTTTGCTTTAGTGCAAATTTTGACTGTTGTTGATCAAAATATTTAATTTCTCAAGTCAGTTAATATTTTTATTTTTGTCTCAGACTTAATCACATTATAGACTAGGGTTTGAATAGTTACACACATTCTCTGATTGTTATTATAGGAGTGAAGGTTTGAAAAAATCTGTAAAAGTTCTCCTATGATTGAACAAAAAATTCAATTATACAAATTATATCTTTCCTAAATCCATGTATCACATATGATTGCATTAAAATATGTATGTACTATTAAAATATGCATGTATTAAAATATGTTTCCGATTAATAAAAATTAAGAGTCTATTTTCATTAAAGATTGAAATAAATGATGAATGTCAAAATAATAAAAACTAAAGAAGAGAGGGAAAATGTATGTTAATTTTAATGTATTTCAAAATTTCAATTTTGAAAAATTACCAGGAAACTGATAAAAAATTCTTTTTTGGTGTTTTAAAATGGAAAATAGTGTCTTTTGCCCAATTGTAAAGAATAAAAAAATGAAAAGAGAAAAAAAAACCCTCCTAAATTTCAAAAGAAAAAGTTAGAGACTCTAAATAAAAGAAAAAAATTGCTAGGAAAGGAAAATTTAAATTTTTGCAAACATTGTGAATTGCCATCAGCTTTTCCTCCGACACTAAGTGACAAGCTATGCTTGTAACTCCTTTTCAAACTAAATTCTTTACTTATTGTTATTTTTAGGTGAATTTCAGTGTGCTTCTGTACAGCTTCCCATTGATGTGCTTATAGTATGTCAAGAATCTAGTTCCACACAAGATGCTTATAAGCTTTTTCTGGAAGCCATTGGAAATCAACTGTCTGATATGAACAATTGTTTGGTCAAGTATACTAAAGTGAATATAATTTTGTTTTAAAACAATATCTTTCATCCTACATATGCATCTATTAGTCTCTAAGTGTCAGATAAATATTCAGGATTTTCTGATTGTCTAAGTATATTTCGAAATGTATTAGAAGTATGCATATAAGTTATTAAATGTCTTTTATATTTAACAAATATGTATTTAAAGGTGTTGTTTTTACGTTCCTCTACATTGAATGAAATACAGTTAAATTCATTTACAAAAATAGCATGAGAATAGAGCCAATCCCTTTGTTAAATCAGGGCACTCATAAAACTCTAGTTGGCCATAATTTTCAAAAATGAAATCTATAATACATGAAACTGAGTCTGAAAACTTTAAAAAATTGTTTATTCTTCAATTGATAAAAAAAAGAGAGAAAGTAAAAACTGAGTTTAGTTTGTTTTTTAACTTTATGCTTTTCTTCAGCAATTGTCCTAGGTACAATTTTCTCACTAATAAAGATGTGTGTTGATAAGAAGAATATAACACTGATTTAAAAAGGAAGAAAAGATTGTATTTCATATTTACCCAATTGAAAACATACATGCTGGCTGACTCATAAGCAATAGGAGGTAGAATTTATTCAATGGTTTGCATAGCAACTTATCCGACCATTGCAATGACTAGAGTTTATTATTGATGCATTGCATTGTCTAGCTATAGCCATGTGGCTTCATTTATTAAATAATTCATTGCGAAACAGATGATAGACTCACATTCTTACTCTTTATTATTTATCTACATGGAATTTTCGAACAAATTGAACTAAAATTGTTTGTAAATTATTTTATAGGTAACAGGATGTTTTTTAACTGGCAGAAAGTAATTTTCGAGGTAAATGAGAAACTCATTGTTAAATCCAAGTTATGCTCCAATAACAATAGAGTTTTAGATAAGTTTTTAATACTAAGCCAAACAATTATTAACCTTACTTATTTCTTCATTACATCTAGGATTTAGTTAAATCAAGACTCAAAATAAACGAATTTGAGTGTGATATTTTTTTGTGTATTTGTTAATGCATTATTATGTGCATGCAGTTGTTCAGAGAATACCATGAAGATCTTACTATGCATAGTTGTACAGAAAAGAAAAAGATGGCATTTACTTTGAGGATTGTAGGGGAATACCCACCAAAGGAGCTATCAATCATGACAATTATTTATTATATTTTAATTGAAATATTAATTTTGAATGTTTTATCTTCACTGCTGAAAATAAGTTGTGTTTATTTCATTTCTACTTTAGATTAGTGATATTGAGGCCCCCAAACCATACCACTTTTATCTAGATATGTGGGATTTTCCTATTACAGTAGTTTATCCTGCTAAGAAAAGTGATGAGGAACTAGGTACTTTTTTTTTAAAGTTTGCTTAAGAATCAACTCTATTAGCTGGTTTTTTAACAGTGTTAATTGTATTTTACTTTCTAGAGACATATCGTAAAGAACTTCACAGGAAATTGTTGCTTCCCATGGACCGTCCTTTTCTGAAAAAGTTGAATGCTTGCGACTTTTCTCTAGCCAGTAGTTCTGGACATTTGTATAATCCCCACGAAGGAATTGTATCTTCTGGAGGTATTATTAAACATTTGCTTTGTGCCATACCTATGCATGCTCAATCTTCCCACAATTCTCAATCAATGTTTTATTTATTTATTTTTTAAATAAATTTGATAATGTTCGAAGGATAATTTGATAATGTTAAAGGTTCATGTAATCAACACCATTTGTGGGATATCTTTATTATTTATTTAAATATTTTATTAAACATTATTAAACATTATTACTAATTATTAAACATTTGCTTTGTGCCATACCTATGCATGCTCAATCTTCCCACATTTCTATTTCAATGTTTTTTTTTTAAAGTAAATTTTATACTGTTCAAAGAGCGTGTAATCAACATCATTTGTAGGATGTCTTTATTATTTATTTAAATATTTTATAGCTACTAATTATAGAATATACCTAAATATACCCCATTTGCTATACTGTATCCTGTAATTTTACTCATTTGCTTTATGAGCATAACTTCTATTTAAGTATTACATTCTTAGTAAATTGGTGTCTTTACTTTTTCTGTCATTCAATGAGTGTGTAATTATTATTCGGAATATATACGCGTTCTTCCCTTCATATTTTTTAAATAGCATTTTGATTGTAAAAATAAAAGGACAAAAGTTTCATAAATAAATGTAGGTGTAAAAAAATTTAAAAATTAGATAAAATGCAGGTGTATAAAAGAAAAATATTTTTAAGATAAAGAATTGTGTAAAAAACGACATAGTTTGAGTATATTGCACTTATGCATGCAACAACTTAAGAAGAGTGGTGCAGTATAGATATAAAATAATTACATGCAAGTATGATATAATGAGATTATCAAAGTGCTATTTAAAATAAATAAATTATTTCCTAATCAGAGCATAGCAAACAGCATATTTTTATTTTCTTGCAATTATCTTTAGTAGATTCTTCATATTATTGGTCTTTTTTTTTTTGAGCATTTAATATATAATACCTGTTTATAGTTATTTTATCATGTCATACCTTTTTTCTTTTAATATGTTTGCTGGCATATGTCTCCCATAAGATTAGTGGTTATTTTACTATTGTTCAAGAAACATGTACTTATAAAACAAATTAAATAATCAAAATCAACTTTATTCTTCTCTTCTGACGTATGTACATGACATATATATGCTATAAATGTTTCATATAGAATAATCCTTGACGTAAATGTTTTTATGAATTACAATCGAACCTCTATTTAACAAAGTCACTAAATCCTGATAATAATTTCGTTATATGGGAAATTCGTTAAATAGAAAATCACCTTTTGAAATTCTTAAACAACACAAACTGGATTTTAAATTCATATACACTAAACATAATTAAAATAGCAATTGATACACCTTTATCTTGTAAACTAGTTTCTACTATTTATTTTATAAATCTTAATCATAAAAGAAATCTGCATGGAAAGCAAGAATATAGCAAAACATTATACNTGGATTTGAATGATTGTTTTGAATTCTTCGAATTTTGTGCATTTGCAATGCAACTAAGTTAGTAGTGAGCGAAACGAGCTTGGTTTGCGAAGTAAACCATATAAGATTGCGTAGCAATTTTGGGAGGTTGGCGAGCAGGGGGCGCAGCCCACTAGTTTATTTAAATATTTTATAGCTACTAATTATAGAATATACCTAGCTATACCCCATTTGCTATACTGTATGCATATAATTTTACTCATTTGCTTTATAGGCATAACTTCTATCTAAGTATTACATTCTTAGTAAATTGGTGTCTTTACTTTTTCTGTTATTCAATGAGTGTGTAATTATTATTCGGAATATATACACGCTCTTCCTTTCATATTCTTTAAATAGCATTTTGATTGTAAAAATAAAAGGACAAAAGTTTCATAAATAAATGTAGGTGTAAAAAAATTTAAAAATTAGACAAAATCTATTAACTCTTTAATTTAAAAGCCAAAATAACAAAATCAAAATGCATGCAGCTGTATAAATGAAAAATATTTTTAAGAGAAAGAATCGTGTAAAAAAGGACATTGTTTGAGTAAATTGCACTTATGCATGCAACAACGAGAGTGGTGCAGGATAAAAATAAAATAATTACATGTAAGTATGATATAATGAGATTATCAAAGTGCTATTTAAAATAAGTAAATTATTTCCTAATCAGAGCATAGCAAACTGCATATTTTTATTTTCTTGCATTTATCTTTAGTAGATTCTTCATATTGTTGGTCTTTTTTTTAACATAAATATTTTTATGAATTACAATCGGACCTCTATTTAACAAAGTCGCTAAATCCTGATAATAAGTTCGTTACATGGAAAATTCGTTACATAGAAAATCACCTTTTGAAATTCTTAAACAACACATAACGAATTTCAAATTCATATGCACTAGACATAATTAAAATAGCAATTGATACACCTTTATCTTGTAAACTAGTATCTATTATTTATTTTATAAACCTTAGCCATAAAAGAAATCTGCATGGAAAGCATGGAATAGCAAGAATAATCCTGTATTACACTATCATGATACATACATTTTCAACGAAAAAAAGTTAAATTTATGTATAAAATTATAGTTGCATTTATTGTAAAAGTAATTTTAAACCTACATTACCACATGTGTTCTTAAGTTTAATTGTTACTGATAAAATCCGTTTTGTCTGAGTTTTGCGTTTGAAATACAAACAAAAAAGAAAAGGGATTTTACTGCTTTCATTCAAGGTACATTCTAAAAGTTAAGTGGCTGCAAAAATCAATTCAAAGTCATTTCCCCTTTTAAACACGTTAACAAGTTTGAAATCTCCTGAAATATTTTAAGAAACAGGGTAAGTGGATATCAAAGAAAAGTTCGTTAAATAGAAAATTCACTTTGCTATTTGGAAGTTATTTTACGAAGAAATTTCTAAAATGTTCTTGGTTCCTCAAGAAAAATTGCGAAGTTGAGAAACTCACAAAATGGAAGTTCGTTAAATAGAAGTCCGATTATATAAATTTTTCCAAGTTGATCATAATTAATGTTCTCTTTTATAATTTTAAAAAAAAATTATTTTAGTGTCGGGTGGTAAATCTTCGATTGTCCAAGGTACATATAGTTACCATCATTATATGCAAGACCACATGGATGATAATGGATGGGGATGTGCCTATAGGTCTCTCCAAACTATAATATCATGGTTTAGGCATCAAGGTTATACAGACAGAAATGTACCTACCCATACAGAAATACAAAAGGTAAAATTTACTTATAAAATATTTACTCTACATAATATCTTTATCCATGTTCATTACATTTATTTAGTTTTAATCTATGATTTTAAAGGTATTTACTATATTTTTTTGTGTACAAATTTATTTTAATTTATTAACAACAGAAATAGAATATGAAGCCATTGTTTGACACTGTTTAGTAAAACTCATGAGGGCTTAAAAAAATCATGTATTTTATTTTAAATAAGATTTGTTTTTTTCTAAACTTACATACTGTTTAAAAAACATCAAGCATTGTAAGTTTTAAAATTTATGAAATCCTTAAAAATTTTTTTTAGGGAGCTATGTTTTTTATTTGTATATTTATGTAATTAATAATTGTTATAATAAATAAAAATGCCTCAATTTGTTAAAGATAATGTAATTTATACACAAAAAATATTATTTAATATAAGGAAAAATTTATTTTTTCATACAAATGAAGTCTGGTATTAAATATGTACTAATATACAAATTCTATGAAAGGTTTCTTATTTCTCCCATCTGCAAATTTTTATCGCTTCATGTTTAATAAGCTTCATTAATTTGAATTATTTTAATACTTTTTATTCTATTGTAAAATATTTTTAACTTATCCATTTTGAATTTTAAGGTTTTATTAGTAAGAGTAATGTCTTTTATTAATATTTACATTTCTAAATAGTTTCATATTTGATAATAATGCAGTTTTTTTTCAAGTTGATATATTTTTTAAAGAATAAAATTTTACCTGTTCATTTAAATGTTGAAAAAAAAGAAAAGAAAGACTAATAACAATGTTTGACATTTAATACTATTCAATGTTTGACAGTTATTAACTTATTATAGCTATTTACGATAACATTTAATAAAATAAACCTCCAACTAATGCAATTATAATGATGTTCATTAAAGAAATGTGTTACAAGTTTTTATGTAATAGTATAAAATAAATTTTAAACCACGAAAAGAAAAAGTGCTGTGCATTCAACTCTTAGCAACTCTGATCACTTTTATATTACTATAATTTAAATGGATTTTCTTCTTTTCTTTTTAAAAAAAAAAGTCTTATTATAAATGTAATTATCAGTCAGTCGTTGCATGTAAAGCACATGTAAGATATCACTTTTAGTTCAATATTGTTTCAGAATAAGTTCAGTGACTTCCTAAAAATAAATTTACATTTATATTTGGATTATCAGTTGCATTATCATTAAATATTATCAAAACTGATAACACCATATCAAGATTTTTCTGGTTTAAGTTGTGAAAAAAGATTGGAATCCTTTTTTTCTTCTCTAATATCTGAATTTTGCTGTTATCATATATTGAGTTTCATACAAAAATCTTACAATAAACCTGTTATTGCCAAGTGATAATAAAAGTTAAAACCCTTTTTTTTTTTTAAATAAAAAATTTAATTTCTGGATATAGTTTCTTTATTAGAATTTGTAATTTTTTTTTTTAGAATTTTAATTGGAAATTTTGTAGTTTATCTTGGCTAGTTTTGCTATTAAGTTTTGTTGATTTGTTTTAAAGCTTAATAATGTTTTATATAATTGTATTTTATTTAAAAAATTCCATATTTAGACTATATTTAAAAAAAAAACTGTTATTACTGAAAATTTAGCAGTATCTGATTTACAGAAACTATATTTTATTAATTAAAATAGCAATGAAATGAATACATTTATGTATTAAATACATCAAATATTGAGATTTTTGAGATTTTTAAATCTTGACAATCTGAGACAAGGTTAAAAAAAATTTGCAATTGAGATTTTTAAACATGCATTTTTTTAAAATTTTACCATTTAATTAATTTTCAATGCTTTAAAGATATAATGGTACTTTAAAGAAAGATTATTTCTTAAAGCAACTTGGTATGAAATGCAGATTCTTCCTAAGAACTACCCTTAATATTTATTTTTAGAATCCTTATTAAAAATTAAGTGAAAAAAATGCATATTAGTGATTGCCAATTTAACATTTAAGTGAGCAATAAATAATGTTTTTAAATTCTGTACAGGTCATTATTGAGGAGCATATAGGTAGAAGAGAGATTAAAATCAAAAAAGATTTTCCTTGCTCAATTGGATTATAAAACATTTGCCTTCAGCTAAAAACTGTCAATAATCTTCATCTTTAAAAGAAAAAATTGGTTTTAGATTATGTTAATTCGTTTTTTTCTATTGCTGATTTTAAATCGGTTTTAATTTAAAGAATGTTTATCTTCTTTTTCACTCAAATAATTATTTGTGACCCTTAATAAGTTAACCTAGACTACTGATAGTTCTAATTTCTCATAAGAAATTCACATTAATCATGTTGCTGCCATCTGTGACTGCACTTTTTTATTCTGTTATGATAATAAAAAATTTTACAGCTGAAAAAAGAAACATTGCTTATTTTAATAATTAAATAAAATTTTTTTAAATTTGATTATTTAATAATAAAAATTTTGTGTAGTTGCAACTCATTCAAGCTAGGGAGAAAAAGAAAGAAAAAATATACAATGAAAATAATGATTTCTTAATGCATTTTTTAAAATTCAAATAACTATTTAATATGGTTTCAACAATTCAATAAAAAAATTTTCAAAAACAAATAATAATTTTTGGTCAAAAGGAAATGTATTTAACATAATTCAGTTTGTTTCTTAACTATATGTCTGCATAGCTGAGGAAGTTTTCAAACCTAAGATTCCTCTCCCTTAAAAAAAAAAAAAAAAAAAAAAAAAANAAAAAAAAAAAAAAAAACTTTATACACAATAAAAAATTTTTTTTTTGCTTGTGCAAAAATCTTTTTCTTGCTCTATGTAAATTTTATTATTTGTTCCACTATCTTTTTAATAAAAGTTTCATTAGTTGGTCTAGTTTTATTAATTTTAAATGTTTATATGCATAAAGTATACATTTAAAAATTAAACGTACTAATATCTTTCCATTTTTAATATATTTTATAAACTTTCTGAAAGGCTCTTGTAGAGGTTGGTGATAAACCAGAATCATTTATTGGATCCAAGAAATGGATCGGTTCTCAAGAAGTTAGTTTTTGTCTGGACCATTTAATAAATGTGAGTACTTTCTGATAAATTTTTACTTTAAATTGTACTTTATTTACTCAGTTATGTTTAGTTATGCATAATATTTTCACTTTATGTTATGGATATTGTTTTCTATTATCATCTCTCAGCTTTTATACCTTTGTATTTCTGTTTCATGTGCAATCATATATGGTTTTATGTGCTGTTTGTTTTTATTTAGCAGTGTTTTTATAGTTAAAAAATAAAAATCAACTAATAGTGTTCAAGCATACTTAAAACTTAACGAAAATCAGTTATAAAATCCAGCTCACAATAGTCAATCAATGTTATAGCAATTTTTATCTAAATAAACCTGATATATTCTCCCCCCCCCCAGAAAAAAAAAATTTAAGTACAGTAGATGCCATTCAGTGTCACTTTGAGGCAGGTGTTATTTGATAACAATGGCCAATTGATAACAATGAATAAAAAGTACCAGGAAACACAAAATTTTGATTTTACTAACATATGTACAATTCTAACTATTATTTTTTTCTGTTACAAATTTTAAAGACAATGAATCATAAAAACGCTATTTTGAACGAATTGTTAAAATAAATTCATTTTAAAATTTGGTGTTAACAAAAAATATTCTAAACTAATGTTTTTTTTTAATTAAATTAAAATTTTTGAGAAAAGATGTAAAAGAGTAGGAACAAGCTAAAAATAATTAAATTTAATTGCAGATTTCTTTCTGTAGTAAAATATGTTTTTTCCTGCTACTATTACAATTTTATAAGATAATCTCTTTTATAAACAGATTAATTTTTGCATCAGTTTACTCTTAGAGTAAACTGAAATCAAAGTCTAGGATGTTAAAATTAATTTTGATTTATAAATACAAATTTTTATGACTTTTTTCAAAATTTCTTAAACTAAACTAAATATATATATAACCATAATTGCTTAACCAAAACTATGAAATAGTTTCTGTAATTACCTATATATTTATGCATCTGATTAATGCTTAAGAAATATTTATGGTCATAAGGAAACTATAAAAAAAACTTTCTAAAATAGACATAATGAATATAAATATTTTCTTCAAAGTAAATATTTTTATATTGAATTAAATGTTAGTTTCTAATTATAAATATTAAGCTATTTCCTTAACTACTTGGTTTGAGGCAGCACAGCTAAGATACTGCTAAACTTGGAATAATTTCATTTCAATTCTGATTTGTACATAACGGAACATGAAGTCTGGTATATTTTAGGTTTTACCGGTAAAATCTATCTTTTACCATAGCGGCTTTGTAAAAGTCCAAAGTATGCTTCAATATGATTTCATTTCAGCTTTTTACCAATCCTTTGAGGTAAAGCCTAGGAGTTACCATGCCACTTTAGTAAATCCTAAATTGGGGGCTTTTACTGTAACGTACAAATAATAAAAAGAATATAAGCGAATTTGTGAAAACGTTTATTCTCTTCAAACAGGTTCAATCAAAAATCATGTTCGTTAGCTCTGGGGCAGATATGGCTAACAAAGGCCGAGAACTCTACAATCATTTCCAAGACCAAGGAACTCCAGTCATGATTGGCAAGTATCTTTAACCATATTTTGCTAAACTTAGCCATTTAACTCTTTACCCCAAATCCAGTTTGGTTTCAGTTCGTATTCCAACATGACTATGAAATTTAAGTAACTTTTTTTTAAACGAAATATTCTTTCACACCTTTATTAAAATAGTATGTTAAAAAAAAAATTCTTTATATACTAATATAAATTTTAATTAATTATTGAAACTTATTTTCAGTGTATTAATGACTTACTGCTAAAAGGTATATTTTAAAACAGTCAATATGGCTTTCAATAGGATTTTACTAGAATCTTATAATTTATGAAAGGCACAGTGGATATGGCTTCGAGCTGTTATTGTAAAGCACTGTGGGTTTGATCGTTGGTGGTGGCTTTAAACACACTCAATGAGGCTTTAAACACACTGAATGAAAAAGTGTTTGGGAAGTGAAGATGCCAGTGATCTGCTCATTACCGACACTATACTGTCGATCGGGGAAATTGTGGAGCCTTAACTTCTATGACCCTTTGTTTGAGAATGCTTTATTTTTAAAGATTTAAAAAAAATCTCAGCATCTGCAGATCATTTTTTTTTATATCTCAGATTTTAAAAAAAAGGAAAAGAAAGAAGAAAAAAAAGCCAACAAAATTTCTGAAAGGCGAAATAGAAAAATAATTTTAATTCCTGAATTTACTCAATTGCTATTTGTTTTGGTTCCTTAACAAAATTATTTGCCAATTCGCAGATATATGTGAAGAAGAAAAGAGATTATTTTGAAAAATTCCAAGTAATATTCTTTAATTCATTGGAATTTAATAAAATAAAAATTTTAAATACAAGAAAAATTTAACTTATTTAAGAAAATTTTTATTAATTTGTAATTTTGTAAACATTTAATTATAACAAAATAAATTTAATTACATTTGGGAATTCTTAAATTTTTAAAAACTCTAGTTGTTTGTAGACTGTGCAGGGAATTTTCCATTTTTTAAATCTAAATTATTCCATTCCATTCAATTAAACGTGTATAAAAATGTCAATTAAAATAACAAATTCTTAAAATTTTTTTTGTTTATAATTTTTATTTACCATATGCATGCTAATTTTAATACATATATACATATTATATTAAGCCTAATTTTTCAATAAAAGCTTGTCTGTGTTAGGGCAGACAGCTTTAAGTTTAGGAAGATACTGCTACCGTGATAATTTCTTTCTCGATTTTTGTAATGAATATTTTTTAAACTGCTGTTACTAAAAAAAAAGTATCTAACATTTAACTTACTAACTTTGCATACTAATTTATCTGATTTTTTATACATAGAAGGGGAAAGTTGAACAAGACAAAAGCTGTTTCATATACAAAATGGCCTAACTCTTTTATTTGAATGATAAATTAGCACCTCAGTTTTAAAAATAAATATTATTTAATAAAATAAAAAAAAAACTATATTTTAGAGGATAAATGAGTCATTTTTTGTTAGAATGCTTGTACTTGGTTTTATCTAATATAAGTATGAAAATTTAACTAAACAAAAATGAATACCAGAATTTAAATAAAATAAGTCAAAATAGAAAAGCGCTATAACCAGCGAAAACCAAAGTTATCTTAAGTAAGCAATTTAAATAAACATGTGAGAAATTAAAAAAAAATTTTTTTTAAAGATACACATGTTAGCATAAACAGTACTTCATCAGGGGACACACTGCCATGCTAACATGCCTTTCTGTAGTCAGTGGTTAAACCAAAAACTGACTGTGCCCCCCCCCCCAGATAAGAAAACAAAATAAGAATATAATACTATACCTGGTTTTATCTAATCTTATTTGGATAGAACTGGGTATGATTAAAAATTATGACAATAAATTATTTTTTGCTATTGTAATATTAATTTATAGCAACAAATTAATACTATTACCCATTCACACTAAAATAATTACAGGACTTTTTAATAAGAACAAAAGGAATAAAATTAGCAACATATCGTGAACTAAGTTGGTTGATCAGATTTAAGATCGGAAATCACAAATACAATTTATGTTCTGTAGTATTACAGGCTTTGTGTGCCCATCTTTTACAGGTGAGACGAATTATCTAACCTTCCAAGGACTTTGATTGGGAGCATTAAGAAGCATAGCTACTCGGTCATGTACGACTGGCAAGGTCTTGGTTTTATCTGACGCAATTTAACTGAAAACAAGCTTTGCATATTTCAAACTTGATGCAAAACTTTTTTCTAATAACGTAAAACATAATATAAATAATTTTATTTAATAACTAAATCAAGCATTATCAAAAGTTGAAATTAAGAAAAGTAAATCTTCGAGCAATTAGAAACTTAGAGCAAAAATCAAATTTTTCTATCAAAACACTAGCAATAACAAATTATAATGGCCTAGACGGTTATTTTATTTATCTCCAAACATGACATGTAACTAATTTCATGTGGTTTCTCATAGATAGTGGCATTTATCTATAATTAATAACATTTATCTATAAAGTGTGGGGTCCCTGTTTTATCCAACTTTCTTCTATAATATATAACATAAAAAATAATTAATTTTCAACATTTTAGGTGGTGGAGTATTAGCTCATACAATTCTTGGAGTGGATTTTAATCAAGACACAGGCGAGCTCAAATTTCTTATTTTAGATCCACATTATACAGGGAAGGAAGACCTTAACATCATTCTGAGCAAGGTAAATTATACATTACTCGAATCTAAATTACATTATTTGATTGGAAATTTTTTTTTGTTGAGATTACTAATTAATTATCATCTATGTATTAAAGATAAATTCAAAATACAAAATAAAATACAAAAAGAAATACAGGAGTTGGACAAAATAATGGAAACACTTCTATACTAATAAATTTCTTCTTATTTCTCAAGAAATACTTAAAGAATTATTATATAACTTCAAATGTGTTTAGATCTGGCGATTTCTCACACTTATTAATAAAGTTTTAAGCCTTTAGAGGCTTCAGGGACCGACAATAAATTACAAACAGAAAATAGTGTTTTTCAACACCCTATCCTAAAAGAAGTAGCAATAAATTTGTAACTTAAAACAATTATTTTAGTTAAAAGCAAAATTTCGTAAGCCTTTTTTTTAAAAAAAATTTTTTTTTCATGAAATTAAGCATTTATTACAAAATTTTTGTTTTAAAATTTGAAAAAAAAAAAATTGTGGAAAACTGCGTGATAAAAAGGAATTAAAGTAGTTCTTTTATACTGCACATACATGGAAAAAGGTTAAATTTTTATCTTCATAATTTTGTAGTGCATATTTTAAAACTTTAAAAAGTTTCAAGCAATTTTCTAAGTAGTTTTTAAAAGAAACTCAAAATGATGAAGGGGTTTTCTACAAATATTTTGTATCATTAGACAAAAATAATAAATGATAACTACAATAAACGTCTATACACCGAAATATGATTGTATAAAGAAAGAAAACATGCGAAAAGATAGTTTTATGGGGGATGATCCTAAACAATGCCAGCGTCATTTTAAATAAAACTTGTTTAATTTTACAAAATGAAATTTGCAGAAAATCCCTCAGTTTTGAGCTCTGTTTAGTCTAAAAAATCACAAAAACTACTTAGAAAATTGAATGAAACTATTTAAATGAGACTTTTTTCATCGGTTGTCAAATACGATTTGCCACAAAATAAAGAAAATTTTTTCTGTGCATGCATAGTATAAAAAAATATGCATATTTTGCGCAGTTTTAAACAAATTTTTCTCAAATTTTAAAACAACAATTTTGTAATTAGTTTTATGGAATATTTTTTAAGTTATAGCATGAAAATGTTTGACAAAAAAATTACTTTTTTATAAAAATGTCCATAAATATATAAGCTACGTTCCCAAAATTTTGTGCAACTATTGCATATAATAACCAAAATAATTGCAGAAGTTACAAATGTATTGCTACATTTTTTGACATATGGTGTTCCAAAACTTTATTTTTCATTTGGAATTTATTGTCGGTCCTTCAAACCTCTTAAAGCTTTCAACTTCATTGATAAGTATGAGAAAATCTCACAACAACAACACTTTTAAATTAGTAAAATGATTATCGAAGTATTTTTTTTGAGAAAGATCAAAAAATCTGTTAGCATATAAGTGTTGCCGTTATTTTGTCAAAACTGTGCAGAATAGATAAATTTCATGTTGGAAATTCTGAATTAAGAGTCAAAAATAATATGCTGGTAGAGAAAGCAAATTTTGTTTCACTCAGTTTGCTAAAAGTAGTTCACTTAGATATATTTAAATGGCAATTTTTGAAGGGTATTTCATAAGTTATGGAATTTTTAAATATGCAATAAATCAGCCAAGTTTAGGTGCCTCCATAATTTAGGAAAAATATTTAATTTCAGTTTTCTCATCTTATGTTCTTTATAATTACGTGATATATTATTCTACAGCTCATATTTTTATAGATTTTCAGAGAGAAAATGTCTAGCTTTATCAGGTTTAGGGAAATAGTGAGCAAAAACTAATTTAAACTCTCAATTTTTAAAGTATACTTATTCTTGATTTAATCCACAAACAATAGATTAAATAAAATTCAATGATAGTGATTCGCAAAATAAAGATATTTCTTAAAATTTAAATTATTTGTCTGAAAATGTTATTTGTATAAAGAAATTGCTTCAAAATTATAAGAAAAATATCTTAAAGTACTAGGGACTTTTCTGTACACCACATCCAGAAAAGAGGGAGCATTGGGACATTTCTGTCGATTGACTTTTTACTATCTTGACTGCTTAAAAAAAAAGAGTAAAAGTTAATTATTTTTTTCATTTTAATTGTTGGTTGGGAGCAATTATAGAAATTGCCCATTTATGTTATCTTTTAGCACATTAAAAACATTGTCTTTATTTCTGGTTTTCGTTTAAACTTTGAAATACAACCAATAACTCAGAATATTTAAGTTGAGTTATGACTCAGAGTATTTAAATTGCAATTCTTGGTGAGGTTCAAAATATACCGAATTCAAAATAAAACATCAATTTATTTGCACATGAGGCCATTTAACAGCCATACGTTTTAAAATTACTAATCGAAGCAAAACTATTTACTCATGTTACCCAATTATATACTTACTTATGTGCTAGGACTTATGAAACCTACAACTATGATAGGATTATTATGTACAGTGTGCAAAATAAAAAACGGACTACCTTGAATAACTTTCAATCTAATGATCAGATCTTGGCGTCTTAATAGTTTAAAGGGTAGTGACCTCAAATATGCTAATTATTTTGTGCAGACAATATTTTAAGTTACAAAATCAGACACAAAAATTTACTTCCTCTAATTAAACATACCTTTTTTTTTTTGGACTTGGATTTCTGACATCCAAAATACTAACCCCAATCTGGATAACATAGTCCCAAAAGTTTGGGCCCCCATTGTAAATTTTGCTTTTTGCATATTTCGACATATCTTGAAAACTTTTTAGACGAATTAAAAATTTTTTGCACACATTTACAAAATTTGTTTTTCCAAAAATACAGATTTATCCCATACAAAAAATAGCTTTTAGTAAATGTTTGTTATTTTATTCAATAATAGTCAAAAAAATTTTTTATTGTAAGGTATAAAACTTTTTGCATCATTTTGAAGAAGTTTACTTTACATGGCAAAATAAAAATTTTGAACAAAATTGGTCGAATAGTTCCTGAGAAATCTGATTTTTAAAAAAAATTATTATATTTAAAATTCAATTTCTCAGGAACTATTCGACTGATTTTAATCAAATTTTGTATTTTGTCATGTGAAATTACATTTTTTAAAATAATCAAATTTTTTTTTACTTAAAGTACTAATACTACTTGTACTATTAAAATTCAAAATTTTTTAGACTGTTATTAAATAAAATAACTAATATTTACTAAAAGCTATTTTCTGAATGGGATTATTATGGATAAACAAATATTAAGTAGTATGTAAAATTTTTTCAATTCTCTTAAAAGGTTCTAGAGATATGCAAAAAGTAAAATGAATATTAAGAGGTCCAAACTATTGGGACCATATTTCCAAGATTGTGGCTATCCTCTCTATTTAGGGGGTAAAAAATCCAAACCCGTCGAAAAAAAGGCATGTTCTTGTGTCTGATTTTGTAACTTAAAACATCATCTACACTAATTAAGTAGCATAATTGAAGTCATCCCTTTGAACTATTAAGATTCATTTTTAAAACATGAAGATTTAATCATTAGATCAAAAGTAATTTAGGAATGTCTGTTTTTTATTTTGTGCACTGTACTTAAGGAATTAGAAGTGTTCTAGTCTAATCTGGATACCATGTTTTCAACAGATTCATATTCTTGAGCTATATAGAGGTGGCTACAATTAAGAAAATATCAGCAGTAAGTCTATCAACAAAAAAAAATCTATAATTTTGCTTTTTGAGAATTCAATATACATCACTGGAATTATTAGCATAACTTATTTATCCAAAATAATTTTCTAAGAAAGAATACAAAAAACTTCCAATTTAAAATTATGTTAACCACTTTTTTAATCAGCATAATATTAATGAGTATCCTTAAATACCTACATGATTAAAGTATAGTTCCTTTTTTCTCACAGGGTTGGTGTGGATGGAAAAATACTGCATTTTGGGACCAAACAGCTTTTTACAATCTATGTTTACCACAGAGGCCAAAACAGATATAAAATATTGATTGTTCACTGTTAAAACAACAAAATTATTTATGGTTGTAAATATTTAAATTTTTATAATAAAAAATATGAACATCGATTGATTTACAAAGTGCTTTATTTATGCAGTTATGACATTTGGAAATTATGAAACGGACATATTATACAATCAAAAATCTCTCAATTTTTAAAATTACTGCATTAAATTTGATAGACATTAATGTGAGATAATATAATACAATCACAGTATTAGGAGAATAATTGAAATAAATTCTGATAAATTTCAATTTTTAAATACAATTTAATGACTTAGTCCATTGCAAATCACATTATTGGAACTATTAGCCTTCCTGCATCAGCTGTTGACCTTGGTGAAAATAAAGTGTGGAATAAAAATGTTACATTAAATAGATTAATACTGAAATAGTTATTCTATACATTCAGTTCTTTGAAAAAGGGAGATATAATCTACATATACTTTATAATCATTGTACAATTAACACAGCTTTCAATGTTGCATAAGATGGATACTTTTTTTAATGCAAATCAATGTCTAGAATTCAAATCTAAATTCAATTTTGGTGCCGAGAATTATGAAATCCTATGTAAGAACAAAATTATGAGGTTTTGAGTTTCCAAACCAGCTCAATTCATTTTCAGGTATTTTAAAGGAGAGGAATTTTTTTAAAGTATTTTTTATGGAGGTTGACTTTAAACTATGATCAACAATTAAAATTTCTCATCAGACATTTTTGAATATAAAGAAAAAAGGTTGTGGTTCATTAGTTTTAATAGAAAACCTAAATGGTATCTGCCAAATTTAGGATATAGGTTGAAAAAACTGGAATATTAAATAAAATTGGTTTTATCGCTATATTTTTCAGAAATAAAGCTCTGTTCACTAAAAAAAATAGGGGGAACACTTCCCTTTTTTTAAACATAACGCACGGATAAATGAATAGCTGAACAAAAACATTTTTCGTGGATAAATAATCTAAAATTAAAAATTTGAAAGAGATAAACTTTTTAGACAGCTAGAAAAAGTATTTTCAAGCAAAACGAAATGGATTGAGCTTGTTTGTAACCTAACATTCCATATATAGAAAGCATTTTATTCTTTCAAATTTTAAATAAGCAGGAAACTGATCACACATATACGTTCCTAAAATAAGCGCACCAAGATATTAAATTGCAGTCCTGTTATATTAGTCCACAAAACTTATGAGATACCTAATTCTATGAATATAAATGTACACTAGACTAATTTGTCAGTCGGAACAGAAGCACATTCACCTAAGAAGTAAAACTCGAAAAAGAAAAAAAAAATTCAATGAGGGAAAAAAATAACTCGCTACACACAGTTCTCCAAGAAAGTATGCACATGAAAGAACAAATAAGTTTTATCTTTACACACACAAAAATGTACAATGGTTTTTTGCATAGAGAACTTTCTTTTTTTAAATAAAATTAATTTATCAAGCTTAATATTGAAAAATACAACATAATATACAAAACGATGAGTATTTAAAAGTTTCAGGATAAAAGGGTACTGCAACATACCTTAATATATATATATAAAAAAATAAGCTGGTTTTTGTTTTTTCCACATTGCAAACGAAATACATATACAATAAACACAATCACGACCTTGCAGACACCTGCAACGCGGTCACATACGGCATAAAATGTCGATTACAGTTTATGGTTTCGGACCAGTTCATTGCAAAGCACACAAGGCCACACCCATACAAAAGAGCACTAAGTGCGGAACCACAGGACATCTTGCTCGGTTGGTTGGAGAGAGAGCTAAAAAATGGGTTATTTCTAAGAATCTTTTTTGGGTTCCTTTTCTTCACCTTCACTAAAATTTAACCAGCTTTGTTCCACAATGGTGGCGACCCTCTTCTCATATTCCCTACGATTTTCTTGATAAAGCTGAGCAGCTAGACTATTTGCAGGACTATTTGGATTTGGCTCATCAAGTAAAGACTGAAAAAGATAAAAGAATCTTGTCAATTACATAGATTGACTGAAAATGATTTCAAATAACAAAAATTTTGTAAAGCTGTAATGATTGAATACATGACTAGCATATACTGATTCCATATTTAGAGAGGCTTTCAAATTTGATGTGGAAACCGGGACCTTGTTTAATACAATGTTACTAATGTATTAGAATATAATATTTTTTTTCTTGATAAAAAAAAATCACTCTTTTGGTATTCAATTCCTTTATAAAAAAATTTTTCCGCTGGTTTAACAAAGGAAATTTTTTTGGAAACATGAAATAATAAAAAACAATTTTAAAATCAATGAATGCATGCTACACTATCAAGGATTCAAAATTATTAAAGGTCTTACAGTACGCAATTGTTTGAAGCAATAACCTAAATAATTAAACATAACTTAAAACACAAGACATCTAGCAAACACTAGTGATGTAACATACTACAAAATCTTTAAACTTTAATGTGTTGTTAAAAATGTAAACCAGTGTTTTAGAATTTAAAATCAGAGTTTCAAATATAAGAACAAAACATTTAGGAGAAATTTTTTTTTTTAAACATTATTTAAAGTTTAAAATCTAAACCAAACTTTTAATATATAAATTATGCTTTAAGTAGAATAAAATTAAACTTTTTAATCAATGCCTAAAACAAATACAATATACATGAATAATTTTTGAAATATCAAATTTTAATTTACAAAGTAAAAAAAAAATGGACAAAAAAAAATACCTGTATAGAGGTTAATATAGCAGATACATCATAAGTTGGACTCCATCGATTTTGAAGAATATCCAAACAGATACTACCATCGGCATACACTAAAACAAATGAAAAAAATTTTGAAATAATGCATCATTATGTATGATAACACTTATTTTGCTTATTGAATTAACACAAATAGAAACAAAATACTAGATATATTATAGCCCAATTAATTTAACTAGTCTAATCAAAACAATTTTTTAAAAACTCAATTTATAAATTCAACATGCGTTAACTACCTAAACTTATTTTTTATTATTTCATTGTAATACACATTTTATTAAAAGTTTTTCCTCAGTTTGAAGATTTATTTTAATAGAATGACATTCGAAAGACCAAATCTAGCATCAACATTAAACTGCATGATATTCTAGAATTAAAAGAAGAAGAAAAATCAAAATAGTGAACTTAAAATTTAAATCGAAAAGTTGCTTACGAATGTGGAATAGGGATTATGATTATTATGTAATGAAGATTAATCTTAGAATGTAATATCTTATCTCTTTCAAAAAATATGACAAGATTTGATCAACCTTATGCTAGAATGAAAAACTATTTTTTATCATAAATGATTAGTAATAAAAAACTTTTTTTTAAAACAATGCAAAAATAGTAATAAAAAAAACTTCAGTGAAAACACCATTAAAAATTACTGTCAGCAAATTCTATTGCTATGCATATCAATTTAAAATGTGCTGTATCATTAAAATTGCTTTAAGTTATAATATTTAAAACCTTTTTTAAAGTAACACACAGATCAAAAGTGGGCAAATTGAAAAAATTTTTAGTCACATTCCTCCTCAACCTTAGGTAACTAAAATTTTTTTAAATGGATTCTAGACCAGGATTTCTTTAACTTTTTGGTTTGAGGACCCCATAAACATTGTGCATATCCAACAAAAGTATGAGTAAGTGTGAACTGTCAGTTTCTTCCCTTGTACTGTAATATACTATTAGAGTTTTAGGTCATTAACTTTAAATTTTAAGACATAGAACACTGAAAATTTTAAAAGATAACTTAAAAATATAATATAAAAAAATTCATTTACATGGAAAAATCTAAACATTAACTCTAGTCTGTCCTTTAATAATATCCACTTGAAAAGTCACAACTGAAAATATCCACTCAAATCTAACAGTATGGTATGTGAGGATTTGATTGACAGTTTGGTTTCGTGGTGATTAAAGATGAAAATGAGGATGTCTTACACAAATATGTCTTGCAAAAGATAAACACTTATAGTAGGGATGCACAACCTGCTAGAGGTGTGAGCATTTTATGAACACAAGTAAAAAAAAATATTACTAAAAAAAAATATATTGAACAATTGCCTATTTGAGTATCTCTTCTTGAACTCAATTTGCACAAATTCTATGTTGTTTCTAGTGGAGCGCTTTTACAGTGGTTGTTGCAACGAAATTCCACATGCTTTTTAAAAAACCAAATATTTTAATGTGATATTATTAAGTTTAAAAGCTATATTTAACATTTTTCTGTTAATATAAATAAACACATGGAGAGAAAGATAGAAGTTATAGTAACAACTTTGCTAGAAATGTGTTGTAAATTATGCACTGCCATTTAATGTAAATAATTATGAAATATTGTTAAATCTAACAATCTTTCATAAAAATACAATAGTTCATTGAAAAAAAAGTTATTTTTACCATTAGGGTGAAACATCTTCGACACGAATCTAACTGTTGGTGGTTTATTAGGATATTCTTCCGTAAACTCTAACGTCAATTTAAAAGTTCCATCTTCAAATGGGGTATCATGAGGGCTAGTCAAAGTAAACATTTATATTAGAATTTATCAATCTTTAACTACATAACAATAAATACTTCATCAGAAATAATAATATAAAGAATGCGAAATGAATGGAATTTGTGACAAACACTTATTAACCAACTAATTTTTTTAAGATCTTAAATCAAAGAATACTCAGAAATGCTGCTCGATAATAAATTAACAATAAAAGTGTTGTAATCCTTTAGCCGTTCCGCTACTTTGGCAAATTATTTGCAGAGCAGTTTTTCATTTTATAACCATAAAAAGAAAACTGGTTCTTTGTGCAGGAAAGAAATCAGGAATGTATTAAGAGAGATAAACTGTTTAGCAGGTTTTGATTGTTTTACATACAAGTATACAAAATAAATTTTTCTCAAATTACTACAACTATTTACAGGTTTTGGGCGCTTGGGTTTTACTGTCCTAAACTGCCCTAAAGTGTCCAAAACCTTAAACATTGGTCAAAAGTAAAAATTTTACATGTGTAACCATTGTACACATAATAATTACATACATTAATAGATATGACACTTTTTATACAACTTGCTTTAACTTATTCAAGGAAAATATATAATATGATAGGAAAAGATGTATAACTTTTGAAGCTCCACAGTTCATTGAACAACAAAAGTTAATACCTTATACTTTAACTAAACAATAATAAACTAATAAAACAAAAACTTGTTTTCATTTTGTTTCTTGTTCAAAAATTAAAATTTTATTTTTCACAATATTTTTTGAAAATTGAGACATAATTTGAGTAAATAGGTTTTGGACAGGACGGTTCGAACCCTGGTTTAAACCATGGATTAATCCATTCTGTCCTAAACCTTGTCATCTCAGACTATTTATACATCAGAGTTGGCATGATTAGGTCTGATGATTTAAATCATTTCATTTTTTTTTAAAATTGATTTAATTCAACTATAATTTTTTTAAAAAGAAAGTTCATCATCATTTTTTTATAGAGTTCTGCTCAGGTTAGTCACATTTCTAAAAACCAATCAAAATAAATATATGTAATGAAATATTTTTATATTATTTTAAGCTCATACATTTTAAGAAACAAAACTGATTACTATGACGAATTACAATTTATTTTATGCCTTTAAAATGATTAGTTTTTTTTTAGTTTTTTATTTAAAGCCTTTAATTGTTGCTGTATTTTACCTCGAGTGAAATTTTAAAGCCTAACATAATGGTAAACGGGGGTGATTGTGAGCCCAACTTAAAAATCCTGAAAATTTCTTGAGTAAAATCTTTAATGACGCATTTCAAAAAATTAACGTCTTCATAAATTTAAGTCATCGATATTTTCAAAACATGAAATTCTAAATAAATTATAAGCAGCATAATTTAAATAAATAATTATGTATAAGTTTATTTCTATCTCTAATCACATTTATTATTCTACCAGAAAAAATATTTTTTACAAATGAAAAATTTGACTATAAATTCTATTTCTAATATTTCTAATTAAAATATACAAGAATATACATAAATGTAATCTATTATTTCATGAAACTTCTGGACCTTGGATTTCCGGAAACTTCCGGATCGCAATTAGCAAAAAATCCGTAATTTTTCCGGAGCACCATCATCTCAGGACAAAGAAAGTTTTCCAAGAATTTTTTCCCCTGGTCAACTTACATGCATATAGATATATAAACAAGTGGTCAAGTTACAAGGTTTCCCCATCCCCACATATAATAAAGGTATATTGAATTGTTGATAATAGAGGTCAATTTAGGGTGGTAAATTTAACAGGTTTGATTGTATTGGGTTGAAAGAAAACTAAACTATATAGACATAAATATAGAGCATAATCAATAAGCTCTAAGCTAAAGTTCATTAATTCAAAATAACAATTACTTTCAATAATTGAATTAAATTATTTTAACTTAAATATGAACTATTAATAATAATTCACTTTATAACAAAAACTAGATTTAATGCAAATAATCACTGTTTTATAAATATTAAATCCTTCGACTATTTCAATTTCTTCGAATTATTCGAGAAATTCTTTAAACAATTGCACAGCTCGATATTTCGGAATGCAAGATAAAATTCCAAAACAAAAATTTCAGTACTGAAATTACATTTTACAAAAAACGATCAATAATAACCTTAGTTGATGTTTAGCGTTTATTGTATTCATTAGATGCAATATCATTTTTAACCAAAATTATGTAACTTTTTTTTTCTTCCTTCAATTCAAATCATTTTATTAAGCAGACATGAACATAAGTTACATCATACGGGAGAGAAAAGAAGGTCTAAGAAGGGGGAGAAAAGATTCGAAATGCCACTATCAACGACCTTTAGAGGTTTGATTTAAATCGTAAAGTAGATTTTTAGTAAAGAGAGAAAGGAAAGGGCATGATGCCAAAAACGCAACCTAGCAAGGTTAAGATCAGAATCTTTATCATTCAACAAGAAAAAGACTAAACACTGACGCAACCTCGCACGCAAACTTGGAGTGAAAATATTGTGCGAAGGGATTTGAAACAAAACAAAGGCAAGTGGAACTAAATTTCTTTTTTTTTCAAAGAACCCAAATGAGGGGAAGGACACATTACGTAATGACATCGGGTGTAACGAAGGACTTAGAACAACTACGTAATACGAGTCATAAATTAGCGAGCTGTATTGATTTAAACTTGAAAAAAACATATCATACACCAACGCATGTTTCGTTAAAAAAAAAAAAAAAAATTCAGCAACCAATAAGGCAAGACAAATAATTATTTTTCGTAAAAAGAATCATCAAACAGAAAACAAATATTTTAAATGTAAAATAAAACGATGTAAACAACCTTTTTTTTTTGTCTACATAAATTTTTTTCTCCTTCTTAAAATTACTAGCGAGCACCGTCATGTTAAAATTCTTTTTTTTTTAATTTTATAACCGTCTACTAATACTTACCGTAGCCTTGTAATTTTGAACTCAATTCAGAAGACAGGGGAACTCCTGGATCAAGTATAAGGAGATATTTGCCTGCATGGACTTCTTTTTGATGGAACTAACCCGCATTTGCGTTACATGGAGAGGAAAACTTCACACGGTTAGCCCAACTGCAAGAGGACTCTAACCCACGATTCGTCTACCACTGAGGATATTTTATGTTAGCGCTGCGGTCAGTGCAAGCCGAGTGCGGAATTAGTATCAATAAGCCTTCGCTAGGATTCGAACCCCGTTCACCTCATTGGAAGGCGAGCACTCTATCTCCTGAGCCACTACGGCTCATGTTAAAAGATTATCTACTCTATGATGTAACACTTCTAAATTAATGATTATTTTTATTCGCCATCATTAGAATCACGAAGCAGGTGTTGTACATATTTCTAATAAAGAAATAAAAAAAAGGGGGAATATTCCATACTTTAAAAATAGAGAAAGCTTTAATAATAACCCAAAAATCTCACTTAAATGCTAAATTATTACTTTTGAAGCGATTTTCAAAAAAATAAAACAATTCCGCTTATATAGTGATTAAAAGTGAAAGTCTAAATTTACACACAAGATTGAGAAAGGTTAAAAAATAAAGGGGTCCTCCAAGTATCCTTAATTTTTATTTAACATAAAAATGTTAGATAGAAGCTGGATTTAAAACTTTTAAATAACAATACCTATTATATATCATAAATTTAAACTTAAGTTCTTGTTTCATAAAAATTTGTAAAACGTTAATTCTGTAACCAAAATTCATAGCAATTCGCATTCAAACAGCCATTAGTTAAATATAAAAGAGATTTGGAATTATGATATTTATAATTATTTGCTACATTATTATATAAATAATATATTTGTCCTACGTTGAAACTTGTGAGATGAACCCTAAATGAAGTTATAATGTCTTCGATGCGATTTAACAAAATTTAAAGATATACAGAAAAATCATCTTGGGCGAAAATCAACCCGATCGAAATCTCATAGATTCGTGAGCTTGGCAAATACAGATGATTTATGAGCGTCGCAAAAACGGTATTTGTAAAAAATATTCTAAAAATAATTCGCGAATACTGTGTTTTACGATAAACATTGAACAGACAACAATTATAGACAATGATAATACCGAGATCATTATTAGCAACGATAAATATCGAATACGATGCTATCGTGTAATAAAGTATTATATTCTATGTTGCATAACGATTATGCACATAAATGTAAAAATAATGTAAATTGATTAAATTTTGCAAAACATTCTGATATATCGCGAGTTAGATATCTTCCTACCGATATATCGCGATATTAAAATTCTGATAAATCACCTAGACTTAACTTTGACGCAAACGATTGACTATAGATACCAGTCGTCTCCATAAGAAGTAAGGGCATTAAACAAATCACCATTTTCACCAACCTTTGGCTTATTTAGATTTCAAAAAATGAATTTTTTTTTCGGAAATAATTTTTTCCCCACTAATTGTATCAAATGAAAAATTGAAAAGGAAAAAAAAATGCATAAAAACTTCGCTGACAACGACCTAGTTTCGTGTTTTCAAGCATTACATAACTGAATAAATATAGCTTACATATCGGGATACCAAGACCTAATTCCCTTCTCTTAGTTTAATAGAACACTATCATAAATATGAAGCAAAGCAATAAAACTTCGCACAAAGATAAAAACAGCGAATTAAATGTCAATGAAACATCGAATAAAACGCAGTGTCATTCGAAGAAGAGGTGATGAGAAAAAATAACATTGCACAAGGCAATTTCGACGACCCTTACTATTTTTATCTTCATAAATTGCAAAATAAAGCGCCGCGAGGAGAAACTGCTGCTTAAAAATACCCCAAGATAAAAAAAGGGGACAGTTTATCCAAGAAATGAAAATATTTTTCACTTTAGAAACCACTTATGAAGAAAAAAATAAAACGAACGTGGGAGAAAACAACAAAAGATACTATTAAGGCTGTTTAAACTGCAGGAAAAAAATAGAATGCCTACAATTTTTTTTTATACGTTAAAGAAAATAT